GCTCGCTGTCCAATCCCCCCCCAACCTCTCCAAGCTGCCTGTGGGCTCTGCCTGCACTCTCGACGGCTCCACCGCAGCTAGCGAGCGTTCCAACGCGGCCAGCGCTGTCTTTTCTGTTGCTTTGCGAGCGACGGCGCTCGTGCGAGAATTAGCGGTGCCACAAAGTGGCGCAAACAGTTCCCAACCCCACACCGTGCGTTGGCGCATGCGTTGGCGCATGTGTGCGCGAGCGGTACTCGCGCGTTATTTATTCATTTGCTAACCCTTCTGACCTTTGCCGAACCCCGCCGGGCACGACGACGACGACGACGACGATGAGAACCACAACAAAATCTCACGGTAGCCACGCGGCGGGGGAGAGATTTACAGAACCGGCGAGACTGGAGCGGCGGCGATAATGAAAACAGCGGAGGACCAACAGCCACTCGCTACGGCAAATTGACAGCGAAGGCACGGCAAGGGCAGGTCCCCGTGGACGTTGCCTCCTGAATGAGAAACCCGGGCAGCGCCAGCCTCTCCTCGCGCGTGCGCGAAGCTGGCCACCTAGTGCTCGGCCGCGACGCGTAACCTAAACGCGTAACAACTTTTTTTTGCTCCTGCTGCCCGGCGGAGCGAGCGGACGGCGCCCACGGCCGATGCCGCCCGTCCGCTGCCCCGTTGCGGGGGGAGTGGAGAACGAAGATTTCTCAGCAGACTCGTCGGTGCGCGTGCGTCGACGACGCGAACGGCCGCGCCGTAGGACGACTTTTGGACCGCGCCGCCACCTCTCACTCTCCGGGGGGGCGGTCTCGTGAAGGGATTCCCGGCGCGTTTTGGAACACTTCCTCGATCAACTCGGGAACCGCGCTGGGCAGCGGTGTGGGCATCAAGACGCGTGGGCCGGTAATGCCCTTCACGTGCGCCGTCGCCGCTAACACAGCCGGGTAACCGCAGAGTCCACGAGCCGACGTCCGGGCCCCATTCGGAGCGGAGAGAATGCGCAATTGTGAGGCAGCATTTTTACAAATGGGATGGCATCACAGCGGTGCATCGGTTAGGTTCATTGGACCTGTGATCCGTAAGTCGCCGGTTCGATTCCATTTCCCGGCGTGGCAGTTGATACAGTTCCACGAATTTCTTAAATCCCCTCTTCTGCCCGCCTGTCTACCCAGCAGTGCGAATGGGTTGACCACCAGGCTGTCACCTTTGACCCTTTTATTACGTGGTGGCTGAACGGGAGTTACATTTCAAGACGACGTTGGCGTACGGTCTTCCATTAACTAACAAACCTTTGTAACAGAAGCTCACGTACAGTAAAAAAAAAACACGTGTAACGTTTAAACGGATCGCTAAAACCCACTGACGATTTGTTATAATTCAAACATATTGTTTTACATCTTGGCGATTGTCACCATCAGTCCCCTGATCCACTGCTGGATGAGTGCCTCCCGCACGCCGACGGCGTCCCTCTCGCGCTCCTGCGATGCCGACGCTCCCACCTTCGCTCACGTGGGATCTCATCGCTCCGTCTCCTCGGGCGGCTCCCCTCGAGTGCGGCTGCCGTTACGTCACCGGTCACGTCCGTGCGGATACCGGGGTGCCCGTCTAACAGCGCGTCCTGTCCGAGCGTGCACTTCCATTTCCTCGTCGGTCAATGCGGCGTCTCCAATTTCCGCTCGGTCTCCGGTCCATGGGTTTCTGTTTCTGCCTCGCAGTGCCATCCCCCAGCATGCACCTCTCCATGCTTCTCCGTGCACTCTTCAGCGATTGTTTCCATTCTGTCTGTGGGCGTTCGTGTTTCTAATCCGTACGTCAGAGCGGGCAATCGGCACCACTTTGAGTTTTCCCCCCTTTCAGATGCATTTTCCCTGTTCAGGTCCAGTGTTTCTTCAGGCACCTTGCCTTCTTCTATGTACGTACCGGTAGTCCCCGACTTACGATGGAGATGCGTTACGACGACCCCATCGTAAGTCGAAAATATCGTAAGTCGAAGATGGCCCAGCCTACCCAGGAGTCTTAAAGAATGGTGATAATTGAGCAAAACAGAGCAATTTACAGTACCGTACTGTATAAAGATATACCGTATGTATTTATTAATTACAATACTGTATTGCACAGTACAATTTAAAGTAAAAAAACAAGGTCAATTCTTAGCCTACCTATATGAACTGCAATTTAATAGAAAGTTTTTTCAGGAAACAATCCTATCTGCTATAGAAACTTTTAACATGCATTGAACGTATGTATCGTATCGTGGTAACCCTAAAATGAAATCGCTAAAGCTACGTATCATACATGTATTGAACGTGTCGTATCATATTCTACTGTACTCACCAAGATTCTGTCCGTCGTCTGCATACTTGAACGATGTTAGGTTGTTGATGGCTACATTAACTTAGTTGTCGGAAGAGGAGGATGGCGATGATAAAGCTACAGTATCGTACCTCGTACGCTGCTGCATTTGCCTGCCGCGCGAATTTAAAAATATTTTACAATTTTTGAATTTATTTCGCACCATACGTAGCCAACCGTGTTCATCGGAGATGCAGGGGAAGAACTAAACACAAAAAGCAGTTTTAAAATATATACCTTGAATTGTAGGTTTGCTCCCACATGTTAACACTCAATAATTAGCCGATAACACCTTAATACAGAGGACTGCAGAGCTTGGGCAATTGCTGGAAGCGCCGGCTCACCGTGCGGCTGGCTTCTCCGCACGTCTCCGGTTCCTCCTCGCTCCCCCGAGTTGTTCTCTCTCGTCGAGAGCGAGGGGCGACTCCTGTGCTCTGGCACGTGCGTGACGACGTGAAATTATCATCGTTGCTTTTCATGATCAAGTTCCATTTTCCAAAAGCCACCCCATCGGTTGCCTACGTCTGACGTGAAAAGAAGTTCAACATAAATACACATCCTGCGTTCGCTCGACTATTTTCCCAGTAATCCTTTCTTCAAAAGTAGGTCGATTTTTTTTAGGTGACCGCTGGGAGGCTCATAGGACAAAGGGCAGAACTGGCACCGCCGAGATCCCGAGTCTAAATGAGGGTTGTTCAACAATAATCAGTGCAAACCGGCTATCATTTTCAGAACCCATCATCGACTCCAGTGGAATTTAAGTGATGAACGCACCGATTGGCACACGTGGATACAAACCGCACGACGGCAGGCCTAAATCACCGCGTGGAACATTTGCCCTCGTTTCTCCACGATCGCTCGCTCACGCGGAAGGGCCACCCCCCCCCCCCCTTCACTTCAGGGGAGTGCGAGAGGGTATTTGGCCTCCTCTTCCATCGGCGAGCAGGCGTGCGTTTTTCAAAACAGGTGGGCATGCCCACGCTTTTGCCCCACCACGCGCACACCTGCCCGGTCGACGAACCGGGGGCGGCGTCGCCATTTACACCGCCAAGAAACTCGCCCCCGTAGTTTGGAACTGCCGCGCCGGGAGATGGGATCGAACCGTCGATCTCTGGACCACCAGCCCGTTGTGCGGACCGCCGCAGTGCGGAAGCTTCAACCCCCCACCATCATTGCTCAGCTGAAAAGGCACGGATATCGTTCGCCGCTAAAGCGTTTCTATTCCCGCGCCAAAGAGGCCACCAATTTTCGACCATTTTGACATCGCCGGTTAATCCCAAAAACCACCGGCTTAAATTCGGGCAACTTCCTCCGTGTGTGTGTGTGTGTGTGGTGGCGGGGGACGGGGGGCGGGCAGCAGGAGGGGGGGGGGGGCCAGGGTGGTGGGGGGGGCTTCACCTAGCGGCGGACAATATCCGACGACACCGCCGGGCGAGGTGCAATCGGCGCGGTGGAGAAGAGACGGCAAAGAGTTCTGGACGCCCGAGGTTTTTCTTTATTGAAGTACAGCGAGCGCGTCGGTGGGGTTTCTCAAAATCCCACGCCGGCGCCGACCGTCGCCGATCCGTACTGCGTTACTCAAAAAACTCATCATGCTCGGGGCCACGGGACGTAGGCAAGTGCAATTAAATTAGTAACAAACCCTTTTGAAACCAGTTGAGTATTTCAGCTTCAATAACGCCAGAAAAATAAAACTCTTGATTCGACTCAATCGTCAGAATTGTCACTTCTGCAAATATAACATTAGTATTTTGGCCACATAACCAAAAAAAGGCCGTGTTACTGTTATTATAAAATAAAAAATAGACTTTTTAAAGCTTTGCTTAATAAAGTATAGTAATAACCTGTGCCTACGCGTACATAAAAACTCGGTAAACGGTACCAAAGTAGCGAATAACAAAAGTATAGTAAGTGGAATCTTCTGCAGAATTGCTTTACAAATACAGTAGTTCATACAAAAGCAAACATTTAAATTGGTTATTCTTTGTTCCATTAATAATAATATATATGTATGAATTTTATCACGTACAGATTTGTTGGTACATTAAGATCCATGCTACGTAGGTATATGCTAGTAATAGGTCAATACAATATGTCCCTTATATGCATCAAATGTATACAATACTATGCCTTAATTACATTAAACTTGTTTTTTGTCGTGCTGATATTATGCAACTTTTAAAACGTTAACCCCCCCCCACCCCCCAAACAATCTGTAGACAAAAGAAATGCTGCTTTTAAGACAAACAATAGGCTCGAACCCATAATTTAAACTTATCCACTAAATCGTAAACATTTTGGTATAAGAAATATAACTTTATTCAAGTCAAACAAAAATATATTTATCTGCAAGAATATACACCAGAGGGGCTATGTGGTTATTACATACCTGATCTTTGGAGCAGTTGATGGCATTACAGTGCACGTGAGGAGGGGCTGGGGCGGAGGTCACGTGAGAGTGAGGCGCCCCCTTTTAGCGGCACGAGCCAGGCCAGCACCCCCCTCCCCCCCCGCCCACCGAGCCCCCCAGTCCACAAGCACCGCGCTAGATGCCCGGGCTGCCCCGTGCCCGCTAACCTGAAAAGGGCCCCCCAACCCCCCCCCCCCCCCGACCCCCCCCCCAACCCCCCCCGAACCCCCCCCCCCAACCCCCCCCGAACCCCCCCCCCCTCCGCTCCCTACGAGAATATGCGAATGGCCTGAGTGACGGACGTGAGGCAGACGGGGCATTTGGGATCGTTCTCGTGACAGATGCCGCTGGCGCACTCCATGCAGAACAGCTTGTGGCCGCAGGGCACCAGGGCCGCCGTCACGGCGCTCTCCCGGCACACGGCGCACTCGCGCGGCTGCCCCTGCTGCCCCTGCTGCTGCTGCTCCCCCGGCGACGCCGGCGCCCCGGGGCCTCCGCGGCGCAGCAGGCCCAGGCTCCACTCGGCGCTCAGGAAGCCCGGCAGGCCGTGCGCCACCATCGCCTGCAGCGGGTCGCTGCGCACGCGCCGCGCCGACGGGTGGTGCTCGGCGCCGCCCGACGCCGACGACGCCGACGGCGCCGCGGAGGAGGAGCCGCAGCCGCTGGCCGAGGCGGCCCGCTCGCGCCCGGGGTGGTGCGGGAGGCCGCCCAGCGCCGCCGCGATGGGGTTCGCTCGCTCCAGCTGCGCCCAGAGCCCCGGCTCGTCCGCCCGCGACCCCAAGGCCGCGGCCGCCGCCCCCTCGGCCGCGTCGACCGGGCCGAAGCCCGGGGCGCCGCCGACGCGCGAGTCGCCCGACACGCTGCCCAGCGAGCTCGAGCTGTCGTTGCGCGACGGCGCCGCGAACAGAGGCTTGCGCGGGAGCCTGAGCCACAGGCTGCCCGGCTGGTACCCCGCCGCCGCCGCCGCCGCCGGCGCCGTACTCGAAGCCGACGTCCATGCCGTTGACGTGGAAGTCGCTCTCTCCGTCGACGCCGCCGCCGCCGCCGCAGAACTCGAGGAGGCTGCCGGTGCGCGCGGCGATGTGCGACTCGATCTCCTCGCGGGCGCGCTCCACATTGTGCGGCAGGCCCGTCACCTCGAAGACGGGCTCGCGCTCGCGGCTCGGCGTCACGATGTAAGTGTGCGTCGCCTGCTGGATGCGGCGGATCGTGGCGCCCTTGGGCCCCACCACGAGGCCCACGACGCGGTACGGCACGCGCACCTGGATCGTCGTCTGGCCCGGCACGGCCGGCGGCGATTGGAGCTGTGCCGCGCCCCCCGCCCCCCCCGCGGCAGCGCCCCCCCCAACCGCCGTGGCCACCGATTGCGGGTTGGGCCCCGGGCCGAGCGCCGGGCCGGGCGGCTTGTTGCGGAAGGCCCGGAGCACGGAGAAGTGTTCGGCGGCCGAGAGGATCTCCTGCTTGGCCATGCACACGTCCTCGGGGCGGCCCGTGATGACGAACACGGGCTCCTCGCCCCGCACCGGCGTCTTGATGTACGTGTTTGTCTTGGCCCGCAGGGCCTTGATCTTGCAGCCTGCCGAATGGAGGGGTCAAGTTATTGAACGCGCGCTGCCGTTAGCGTGTGACTTGAGAGCTAGCGACATGAGTGATGTAAATTCGGAGGGTGTTCTAGAAGAGCTTGAGAAATGTTATCTATTCGGCGATCATACGTGGAAAATCTAAAATCTAGGCCTCTGACAGTTTGTATTGTAAGTTTGAAGGGTGTTGAAGACATGTGATTTTGAAATCCAAAACCAAAATTGTGAACTGTGCGAATCTGGAGATTGCTTTTGAAGACTGATGAATCAAAATTACACAAGATATTTAATATCCAACGAACTAAATTGGAGATTTGAAGTTCTCCAAATCTGGGGTAAATTGTTGTTTACTTTTTTATTGTTTAAAATAGGCCTCTGAAAGTTTGCATCTGGATGTCCTAAAGGGAGCCAAGTCCAAATGTGACTTCCAAAATTGACCCAACATTTTGGAATGGCAATGGTTTGGCAATGCCCTCATCCAACAGTGGATCGATCATGGCTGGTGATAATACTAAAGCACATAGGCAAAGCTTGCTATCAATCATTCATAACAATTAGACTGCCCTTTTTTATGAAGGAAATGCGCAATGAGTCTCAAGTCCTGCATTGCGATGTTTGGCCAATTCTGTTGATGAGTGTGTTGCTTCATGTGGGAGAAAACCGGTGCACCCAGAGAAAGCCCATGAGTGTACGAGGGGGTAATGCTCAAAGCTCCGCACAGATAGACTCAAGAATCCATCACTGTACTGCCATGACCTGGGCCACCTACTCCCCCGCTCTCTCCTGTTCGGAGTCAGGCCACCAGATCGGTGACATGGGCCCTGGTGAAAGGAATAAAAGAGGGAAGGAAGCGAATTGTGGTGACCTGTCACCACTGGACATCTATGATAAAGAGCTTCATAGATCATCAGATTTCTCCAGGATAAAAATTTCTGATTCGGATTCTGACATTAGCAAGACAAGGCCATTAAGGTCACGTAACATGAGACACCTTAACGATCGCGGGAGCAATAATAATGATTTACAGCCCATTCTCAGTCCACTGCTGGATGAAGATCTCCAAGTCGATGGAGGGGAAACTATAGCAGCGGTTCAAATGACTTGCCACTGATGGTAGCCGTGGCTGGGAATCTAACTCTCGTAGCAGGGTGCACTAACCACTGCCCCATTGCTTACCCCATTCATGACATCTGGTGTGTCACCACCATCGCCACTTTCACGGATCTCCAACGAAGTGAATCCATAGAATCTGACTGGAGATGTTATTATTGCAGTGACCCAGACTTAGGTGTTAGTATATAGCCGACCGTGGTGATCGGAGGTGCAGGGGGGGGGGGGACGACAACAAACTAAACACAAGAAGCAGTTCTAAAGAAATGAGTTTTCAATTTCGATGATTTAAAGGCGCATAGCTCCACTGGCTTGCTAATATCGGAAGGAAGAGTGGTTCCACACGGCCGCAGAAGCGCATCTGAAGGCACGTGATGCAGTGACCAATGCAGCTATAGTGTGTTAAGTTTCAGATTAGATTAACTGCTATAAAATACACTCAGACTTTACTTAAGCTGGCAAGGCCCATCGAGCACAACGTACAATATAATGACGCCGTGCAGCAATGGCGTCCCACGGTTAGCACGTGCCCTGATGGTCACAAATTTTACTCATCTCCGTAGCTCAGCCCTTAGGCCCCGCTGGCGTGGGCCCTGCGGCAGTTGCACCGCCTGCGCACTCGACGGCTACGTCACTGCGCCAGGTGCAGCAGCAGCAGCAGCAGTAGGGTGGTGGTCGTGGCAAGCTGTATAGGGAAGTGACACGCGCACACCCTTGGGGGGCAGAGTGCAGGGAAACAACAGCCACGTCTGGAGACGCCCTACCGTTATCTCCTATCCCTGTTTGCGCTCTTGCTCGGAATGTATGACGTTGTTTGGAGCGAGAAAGGTAAGCAAAATATATAACCGTTTACAGCCCTTCGCCCATCCACTGCTGGATGAAGGCCTACCCACGCCGCGGTGTCGGTCATGGGGATCGTTCGCCCTTACTTCACCGCTGTGGTCAGTGTTGGTAAAGAGGGGTGGGGTGCCCAGGACTGATTCAGACATCATCGCGTCATTGGTGTTAGCCACGGTCGGGAAGCGAACTCGGGACAACTTGACTTCACAGGTTTACGTGATAACCACTCGCTGCGCCGCCGCTCCGAAATTGAATCAGGTGGACATACAGAATATTCTCGATCTTTTCAAACCAAATTAATTTCACTCAAGGCCAATACAAATATTTACGCACCCTTCCAAATGCATTTAGGACACTATGAATGAGATGAAGGTTACGTTTTATTCTCTACAATGAGTTCAATTTTCTGTTTTATCATTGTCCAGAGAACACGGGGCAGACTGCAAGGTACGCAAAGGAGCGTGGTGGGATGCGTGCGTGGAATTGCCTTGAGAGTAAAAAGGGAACACGCGGATGAGAGAACGTACGCAGGTCCAACACGTACTTCGATTCAAACCGTGAAGAGGAAAATTGGTGGGCTGGACCAGAACAGACGGCTCGGAGAGACGCTGGCCGACGGTAAAGGATAATAACGGAGATGCAGCCAAGGGATGGAATGCGTCCGAGCAGACGTCGCCCAAAGAAGATGCCATGCAGCGATATAATCGGCTGGTGTGTAGGACGTAGGTGCTATGTTACATCACATGATCATACCGTAGGGGGTGGTAACGCCTAGTTGGAGGAGGCCTTCATCCAGCAGTGGATTGATCATGGCTGCCCATGACGATGATGGCAATTATGAGTTAATATCTCCCAGATTCTAAATGGATTCCTAAAATTCCAGTGCGGCGGCGGTGGTGGTGGTGTTTTTTTACGTTCATTCCCCTCCTACTTTGTTGTAAAAAATTTCTATAACAAAATCCTCAACGGCTTTGTGTTTTCGGGTGAACGTCCAAGGCTGGGGAGAGGAGGCAAACTCCTTCCCGACAGCTCAGCCTGGGCAAGGGCGGAGGAGAGAGGCTTGCTTCTGCTGCTGCTACTGCGACGCCGGGTGTCTCACAATGCGCAGAGAGATAAACCCACCACGCACACCGCACACAAAGGAACCCGCGCGCTCCGCCTTCCTCTTCCCTCCACCTCCTCCTCACTCCCTCCTCCTCCTCCGCGCACGCGGAAACTCGGCAGTGGAACTTAACAAAGAACAAAAGGTTTTTTTTGCCAGCACACGTCAGTCAAGGCGGGGAGAGGGGAGGGCAGTGGAGTCGTGAATTGTATTGCAGCGCTCGCAGCAACCAACCCTGTGGAATCGGAACCGGGCCAGGTTCGATTCCCAGCTCACGTAGCCCACCCCGGTCGCAGACAAAGTGGCGATCCTAAACCTCGAGACTTGCCATGAATTCCATTCCATTCTCCCCCCCCCTAGGTCAACTCGGCCAGAAAAGAGCACCTGGCGTGGCGCTGCAGTGCAAGCACAGCAGTGGGAGACAAAGGGGGTACACACCAGCCAGACGGGCGTGGTATTTATTCGGCGAGCAGATCTATTGTCTGACGGGGGGCGACCTTAATAGGCGCTCGCCAACAGAGCGTCTCTCTTAAATGGGAGGGGCTCCTTTGTGCATCTCTGTGCTGGTGGTGGTTCGAGGCGCAGTGGTCGCGTGACCAACACCCACCCCCCCCCCCCAGAAAACCACAGTTCGACTCCCCTACCGCGGACACCAAAAACGTGGAGACACAAGCGGTATTTTCTGAACCTGTACTGCCCCCCCCCCCCTAGGTAGGCTCGGCCTAACAATGAGCAAACGAGCGTGTGGTGTGTAAATGTAAGCACTGGGGGAGACAAAGGCAGCCGAGGGCGTGCTCTGGTGGTTCTAGTTACACCAGCCCCGAGCGCCGGACTTTAATAGGTGCTCGCTAACTGCCCTTGTTGAGGACCTGGTTGGGAATACAATAAACACGTGGTAGCTGACCATCTACCGGACCTCTCCCTGGGTCGACTCGACCTTAAACGAGTACCGGGTGGAGAAAGAAGCAATGCAGTTCCTGGCCACGCAACACCTACCCGCCCCAAGATGTAACTGCCAGCCTTAATAGGTGCTCGCTAACAGCACTCGGTGCGGCCCCCTGTACAAGCCGTTGGATTAGCGGGGTTGGTGGTGGTGGTTGGAGGAGTGCGAGGAAGGGAGAGTGGCGGTGCCGAGTGTCTTTGTGTCGCGGGGAGCGGTGGCGCAGGGGTTAGCGCACTGCGCCGCGAGACGATCGCCACCTGCGTTCGATTCGCGGCCACGGCTAACATCAGTGGCGAGTGATACTCCGAGACAGTTCCTCCCCCCCCACACCACTATAGCTCAACTCGGTGATAAAGGAATAACAACAAGAGAAAGCGTAAACATGAACATCGGGGAGACAAAGGCGTGTGGGTGGCACCCCGTGATGCGCTGTGCCAGCCTCTCACTAGATGGTCGCTAACTGCAAAATGCCCCCAAAAATGCCCGTATGGCGCCTAAGCCTGCAATACGTCTTTTGTCTACGCGAGTGCGTCTTTAGTGTGCCATGCCAGCCTTAATAGGCGCTCGCTAACATCGTTGTTAGCTAGCACAACGTTTTGCTTGCCCAAGAGCCCATTAACGCCTACAGGGGCAGCAGGCAGACAGGCAGGCGGGGGGAGTCTTTTGTCTAGCAGAGTGCCGCGTCTCTCTCTCTTTGTGTCCCGTGATAATCGTATTTAATAGGCGCTCGCTAACAGCACACGTGTTGGTGTTGTTGATGTTGTTGTTGTTCCCGCTGGATAGCATAAGAGGGCCCCCAACAGTCTAGCTGAGGTTTCTTTGTTCTGCTGCTGCTGGGGTGAGAGTTGGGTAGTTGGTGCGGCTAACAAAGGAAAATAAGAGGCGGGCAAGCGGCATCACTACTCACCCTGTCTGCCCACGATTTCCGCAACGTGCTCCGAGCTGGGCACGCACACACACTCGGTGGTGTTCCCTCCTCTCCTGCTGCTGCTGCTGTTGTTGTTGTTTACACCACCACCAGCACCACAACCGTTGTTGCCATTACTCGCTCCACCACCACCACCGCCGTTGTTCCCATTGGTGCCCACGTTGTCGCCGGAGTGGTCACTCTCGCACGAGCCGCCGCCGTCGTCGACCGAAGCCCCGACGCCGACGACGCCGCCGCCGCCGTCTCCGTAGAGGACGGCGCGCTCCGTGTCGCCGAGGCCCATGAGGCTGATCTTCTCCAGGGCCATCTGCAGGGCCCGATGCTGCTCGGCCCCGCCTGGCACCACCCGCTCCATGTCCCCGACCACCAGGGCCGAGCTCGGCATCGTCCTCGCTGCTGCTGCTGCTGATACTGTGATGGTACCGTGCTGCTGCTGTGATGGTACCGTGCTACTGCTGTGATGGTACCGTGCTACTGCTGTGATGGTACCGTGCTACTGCTGTGATGGTACCGTGCTGCTGCTGTGATGGTACCGTGCTACTGCTGTGATGGTACCGTGCTACTGCTGTGATGGTACCGTGCTACTGCTGTGATGGTACCGTGCTACTGCTGTGATGGTACCGTGCTACTGCTGTGATGGTACCGTGCTACTGCTGTGATGGTACCAAGATGATGCTGTGATTGCTGATGTGGTGGTGATGATTGTGATGATGAGGATCTTGCGATTCTGGCTTTGTTACGACGTCGTGGCCGTTACAGAATCTGGGTTCTCACGTGGGAAGAAGCTGACGATCTCGCGAAAGGCGCTGTGATGTTTTATTGACGATACGGCGATGTTTATGTTGATCAAATGTGTAATTTGTAGTGACCGTGTTATGATCTCATCATGGTGACGATATTGCTGTGACCCTATTAAACTCGGATGATGGTGTGACAACGCTGCGATGATTATAAGTTATGACGATGTTTACGTTGAGATGTCACGCTGCCTATAATTGTTAACGATGACAAAGCCGTTATGAGCAGACGACGATGCTGCTGATGATGATGCTGCTGATGATGCTATCGCCACTATTATACTACCACGGATAATGATCCCACTGCTGATGCTGCTGCTGCTACAAAGGCGATCCCGAGGACCGGCCTTCCCGTAGCCCGGGACGTGAGGGTCGCGGCCCCGCGACACCGTCGGCCCTCCGTACCGAAGCGCGCCTGGTAGCCCAGGGGCTATAGCAGTAGCCGGCCGGGCGGGCGGGGTTGCCCCCGTGGGGCTGCCTTCACAGCGACATCGTCCCCGATCCACGGGCGGGAGGAGGAGGAGGAGGAGGCAGTCGCAGCCACAACGGCACTCGCAGCCGCCCGCGCGGCAGTCGGAAGCGCAATTCGCTACATTTGTCCGCGTTCCATCCGCGGGTCACTCGCGCCGTGACGTCGGCTCGGCACGACGCCCCCAAAGCGGGGTGGGGCCTCGGGTGGGGGAGGAGGAGGAGCGGGCGGGGGTGTCTGTGTTAAGGGGTGTGGCTTGTGTTATTGTTTGGGGGTGTGGGGGAGGGGGGTCTGCGATAGGGGGTGTGGCTTGTGTTAGTGGGGGGGGTGTCTGTGTTAAGGGGGTGTGGCTTGTGTTATTGTTGGGGGTGTGGGGGGGATCTGTGATAGGGGGTGTGGCTTGTGTTAGTGGGGGGGGGGGGTGTCTGTGTTAAGGGGGTGTGGCTTGTGTTATTGTTGGGGGTGTGGGGGAGGGGTCTGCGATAGGGGGTGTGGCTTGTGTTAGTGGGGGGGCGGGGTGTCTGTGTTAAGGGGGTGTGGCTTGTGTTATTGTTGGGGGTGTGGGGGAGGGGGGTCTGCGATAGGGGGTGTGGCGTGTGTTAGTGGGGGGGCGGGGTGTCTGTGTTAAGGGGGTGTGGCTTGTGTTATTTTTGGGGGTGTGGGGGAGGGGGGTCTGCGATAGGGGGTGTGGCTTGTGTTAGTGGGGGGGGGGGGGGCGGGGGTGTCTGTGTTAAGGGGGTGTGGCTTGTGTTATTGTTGGGGGTGTGGGGGAGGGGTCTGCGATAGGGGGTGTGGCTTGTGTTAGTGGGGGGGCGGGGGTGGTGCGTTAAGGGGGTGTGGCTTGTGTTATTGTTGGGGGTGTGGGGAAGGGGATCTGCGATAGGGGGTGTGGCTTGTGTTAGTGGGGGGGGCGGGGTGTCTGTGTTAAGGGGTGTGGCTTGTGTTATTGTTGGGGGTGTGGGGGAGGGGTCTGCGATAGGGGGTGTGGCTTGTGTTAGTGGGGGGCGGGGTGTCTGTGTTAAGTGGGTGTGGCTTGTGTTATTTTTGGGGGTGTGGGGGGGGGGTCTGCGATAGGGGGTGTGGCTTGTGTTAGTGGGGGGCGGGGTGTCTGTGTGACGGGGGTGTGGCTTGTGTTATTGTTGGGGGTGTGGGGGGGTCTGCGATAGGGGGGGTCGGGGTGTCTGTGTTATGGGGGTGTGGCTTGTGTTATTGTAGGGGGCGGGGGGGGTCTGCGATAGGGGGTGTGGCTTGTGTTAGTGGGGGGCGGGTGGTCTGTGTTATGGGGGTGTGGTTTGTGTTAGTAGGGGGCGGAGGGTCTGTGTTAAGGGGTGTAGCTTGTGGTAGTAGGGGGCGGAGTCTGTTAGGGGGTGTGGCTTGTGTTTGTGGGGAGTGTGTGTTAGGAGATGGGGTCTGTGAGTAGGGGGCGGGGCCTGTATAAGTAGGGGGCGGGGCCTGTGTCACTATCCACGAACAGATTCAACCCGCGAGAATCGATTAGAATTATGCAAATTGTATTGGAAATGTTATTTTGACCGTGTTCTCTGCGTATTGTTGTTCATCGGTCTCCTATTCCACCACATGTAATTTAAAACTAAAGCGAGGAGCGTCTTATTCTTTTGAAACGAGGATCCAACCCAGGAATGGGTTACGAAGTAGATGAATAATAATAATTCCATGTAGAATGCGCTTTTTTTAAAATCAAAGATCTCAAAGCGCTGCACAGGACACAGCAACAGCAGACATTCAGCATACACGTAATACTATAAATACATTTTAATAATTATTTACTAAGCTGGTGATCAGGAAACTTTTTTTTCTGAATTCATTCTCATCAAAAGCCACGACGTGTAACGTGCTGCCTCCAACTCTTATAAGCCCCTCTGGCACTAGCTGCCATTGCCCCAAACCTCAACAATTATTCTTCTTTTTGAGACTACAGCGTTGTCGACGGATGTTTTGAGTTCGCTTTAAGTGTTATTATTGTGATTTGTGTCCTGTGGGAGCAGTAAGATGCACCTCAAATCTCTGTCCGTCCGGTTGATGCCAATAAGTCCTGCCACTGTGGTCACACAAACCAACTATGAGAGTCTTATGACTCTGGAGAATACGGTCGGCGATTTCAATTACAGTACGGTCTGCAAAATATTCGATTGTTGAATCGAATCGCTAGAGTACAGGGAATCGTTACAATTCCCCCGCCTGCCTTTTGGTGCGCCGCGGTAGCGAGATGTTAACCACTTCGCCTGGTACACAGGAAGTCGTGGGTTCGATCCCGACCCTAACGCCGGCGGCTGCTGTATATTTGGAGTCTGTGGTGTCGCTCTCTCTCTATCATCATCACGGTGGCTATGAGATGTTAACTACCTCGCCTGATACACAGGAGGTATTGGGTTCGATTCCAACCCTCACACCTGCTGCTGTATATTTGGAGTCTGTGGTGTCTCTCTCATCATCATCACGGTGGCTAGGAGATGTTAGCCACTTCGCCTGGTACACGGGAGGTCGTGGGTTCGATCCCGACCCTAACGCCGGCGGCTGCTGTATATTTGGAGTCTGTGGTGTCTCTCTCATCATCATCGTGGTGGCTATGAGATGTTAGCCACTTCGCCTGGTACACAGGAAGTCGTGGGTTCGATCCCGACCCTAACGCCGGCGGCTGCTGTATATTTGGAGTCTGTGGTGTCTCTCTCATCATCATCGTGGTGGCTATGAGATGTTAGCCACTTCGCCTGGTACATGGGAGGGTCGTGGGTTCGATCCCGACGCCTGCTGCTGTATATTTGGCGTCTGCGGTGTCTCTCTCCCCGTGGTCGCGTGGACTTTTCTCACGGTCCTCTGGTTTTCCCTCCACATTTAGAATCAACATCACGGCGTCTCGAGTGTTTGGCGACTATAAATTTCCACGTGACAATCCACTTCGACGAGGCTATCATTTGTGATATCCAGGTCGCTTCTGAAAAAGAGCCGTGTACAGCTCAGTGGGTCTTACCTGGTAAAATACAAACATATGTTTGGTTTTGTTCCTGAGCAATTCGCTCTTCACTAACCCGCACTGACCAACGTGGTTCGAGTATGGTCAAACGACTCCCGTGACCGACACTGCTCATCTCATCCAGCAGTGGGTTGACAAAGTGATGTGAATGGCCAGGTAATGAAAACAAAGGGGACGTCTTTTAATCTTTGAGAAAACAGAAAAAAACACATCTCAAAAAAGCATCACATTCTTTGAACCTATCTACGTGACTTTACCGAAAGACCCAAAGAATATGAATTCCTGCAGTCGCGAAAGCTCTAAGCCAAGAAAAAGCACCACAATATGAATTTAGGTACCCGTGGTGTATGGCCTGTGCCTGTAATTATCTTAAGGTCGTTGGATACCAAACGGTGCTATAATAATATCAATCGACTGCTGGATGAAGGCCTTCCCACGCCACACCGTGTCTGTTGCGAGTTGAGCATACTTCACCGCGCTGGTCGATGTGGGTTGCTGAAGAGCAAATTGCTCACGAACCAAATTATTATTTTTTTGTTACCAGGCAAGGCCCCTCGAGGCCCCACCAGGACTGGTTCGGATATCGCTCGCCCACTGATGTTAGCGGGGAATTGAAGTGTCGGGGATGCGGTTCAGTGCGCCGGAGGGCCTCAAGGAGCGACTCGCTATTTAATGCGCCCTGCGTAGTTTGGGCCAGCGTTGACCAACACATCCAGCCGGTCGGAAGGCGCGGTGCTACCAGGGCTTCTCAACCCCCACCCCGGAGGCCCTCGTCGCGCTCACTGGGGGGCGGGGGGGGGGGGGGGCGGGGGGGGGGGGATCGCCACAGCGCTCCTGCTTCGTGGCGTTATTTACTACGGCTGAACGATTTGGGGGAAATTTCTCATTGTGATTTTTCTGACAGATATTGCGATTTGATTTGCGATTGCATTTTTTTTAAAGTCAAGCTTCAGTTCAATGTTCACTGTGTAATAGATTTAAAACATGTGATGGAGCATTACCACATCATACCATCAAAATATGAACTGCTCTAAATATTCTAATGCAAGGATGAGAACTTAATAGATATGAATTGCTTCCAACATGTATGTATTACAATGTTTTAATTGAAATAGAACAGTCTTGATTTGAAGCTTTCGTGACTGCAGGAATCCATACTCTTTGGTTCTTTCGGTAAAGTCACGTAGTAGTTAGAACAATAAAATAGATCACGACGTTTCGATCGAAACACAAGCAATCGTCATCAGGTGGGACAACCACAGCAAGACTTTACGTGACTTTACCAAAAGAACAGAGTATGAAATAGAACAATCAAACATAGAACAATTGTTAATTTAAATAAATTAAGTTATAATAATAAAACAATTCCAATAAGAAAGTAATAGGGCTTTTCAAATCGCAAAAAATCGCAGCCTTTGCGATTTACCAATCGCATTGTTTCATATGGCGATTTCGATTTGAAATCGATTAATCGTCCAGTTCTATTATTTACTCAGGACCCCGCCGCTCTCGTGTTCACCACTATCATTGCGGCTCTTTTTGATAGATTGAGATTTGTTGAATTACCAAAATTCGAGAAAAAAATGTCTCTTCCTGTTGTAGTTTAGGTTCCTTGACCCCCCCCCCCCCCGCCTCTGGTCTAGTGTACGGCAAGCGGTGTGTACGTAAAGTGTAAAGTGTGAATGATACGCCCCGTATCAAGGATGAGAACTTAATAGATGTGAAAAAATAATTCACTAACACATGGGATGGACTTTTCATTTATTTTTTACAATAATGTCTACTAGTGTATATTGTATTACATTGCTCTGTTTTTTTCTTTTGTACCATTTCTTGTTTCATTGTATGTAATGGCAGAGATTAGGGATTAATAAAGTACAACCATAACCACAATCATATAAACAGAAATCTATGCATTGATTTATATGAAGACAAGTCCAGATATTGTGGCCAAGGTTTAGCAAATTGTTGTATTTAATTACATAGCATAGCAATTATGTTTTTTAAAATATTGTTTATTGCAATATATTGGGGGGGGGGGGGTACATTTTGAACATATTTGAATATTGGGGGGGATGTGTCCCCGTAATTATAATATATATTGGGGGGGGTGTGTGTGTGTGTGTGTCCCAAAATATATTATAATTACGGCCTTGCCCCGGTTTAACTTTGTGAACCGTGTGATAGCTTCGGCAGCAGCGCGACCTGCACCGTCTAGCCAGCCGGAGAGTGGTCGTGGGGGTCAAGTTAGTTTACACACGCAGGCTGTCACGTGACAGACCTCGCTACTAATTTGGCTGTGTCGGGTGGTGGCGGGTTTAGCGACACATGTATGTATATAGGTCTGTATTCTGGAGAATGCAAGTTGTTGTCGATACGGGTCCCTTGGTTGGTTCGGGCGGCCACAGTCACTGCGCCCGTGGCTCCCGTCACCTTCAAATGTCCACTCGTGTGAGGAAGAGAAAGGCGTGACAGCGGCGGAGACGTCGCCGTTCCAGAGCGGTTGATGGAGCCGCCACCACCACCAAACCATCACAACCACCACCACCACCACCACGCCAAACCAACACCACAGTGGGCAGCAGGTCAGCGGCAACAGCAGCAGCTCGAACACAAACTCCGCAACGTTCGCGAAGCGCCTCCGGGTTCGTGTTGACGTGATATATTGAGGCAAGGCCGTAATTATAATATAATATTAAAATATGCTCTAAATGTCCCCCCCCCCCCCAATATATTGCTATAAAATAGATTTCAGTTTATATGATTGTGGCTATGGTTGTACTTTATTAATCCCTAATCTCTGCCATTACATACAATGAAACAAAAGGTAAAAAAGAAAAAGCAGAGCAATGTGATACAATATACACTATTAGACATTATTGTAAAAAATAAATAAAAAGTCCATCCCGTGTGTTAGTGAATTTTTTAAATATTTTAGGCAGGAAATGTCAGGAAATTCGTTTTCAAATTTAGATATTTTTTCTGGGGGGAGGAGCCCCAGACCCCCTGGAAGATTTGGTCTCCCCCAATGTTGACTCCATGGCTACGGCTTTGTATTGAGGGCAAACTTCTTTCGCCGACGTACGCAAACAGCGTGCGTGTGTGTGTGTGTTGAACTTCTTTCGCGCCGTACGTAGCCCAACCGTGCTTCGTCGGAGGGTGCGGGCGGAGTGTGCACCGTCACAGCTCGAAACGGGCGTTGTGTTCACGCGGTCTAGGGAAGCACTCGCACAAACTCTAGCAAACAGACGACTGAGTATGTTAATTCGTGTATTAGTACGTTTTACTTATAAGGGGCCGTCCATAAATGACGTCACGCGATTTTTGACGATTTTTGACCCCCCCCCCCCCTCGTCACGGCGTCACAAAAAGTCAGACCGCCCCCCTCAAATATGACGTCACAAAGCTCTGCCCCCCCCCAAAAAAACATGCTTCAAATCGCTTTAAACTATTGTCATTGTAGTGCGTATTTAATGTGCCGCTGCACTCTGATGTTGTAGGAGAAAACATTTATCAAAAAGTCTATTTAAACACATTCCTGCGGAGGGAGCTGGTAAGAACGTTGGGTTGCTCGGTCAATGGCCAGGGTCAACGGCGGCACCACGTGGTGTATTCCGCAAATATGCCCGACTGTGAGGGCGGGCACAAGCCGGCGTGAGTGGGTGAAACGTTGAGTTTTATAAGGGCACCACGGGGTGACCAGCCCCTCCCCACCCAGCCCCACCCCTCCCCACCCTCCCCACCCAGCCCCACCCAGCCCCTCCCCACCCAGCCCCACCCAGCCCCTCCCCACCCAGCCCCACCCCTCCCCACCCAGCCCCTCCCCACCCTCCCCACCCAGCCCCACCCTCCCCACCCTCCCCTCTGCACCCAGCCCCACCCCTCCCATTTTTGGATGCACGACGGACGGACGGACGGACACAATAATCCCCTGTGGGCTGGTGGTGTAACCAGGAGGTTCCTACCAGTATTAAGTAGAACGTGTTGTCTATATTTATTTAAAGTTGCACATTTTGATGTGACGTCACATTTCTCACCCCCCCCCCCCCCCTCGTCACAAATGTCTGACCCCCCCCTACCCTAGGTGCGTGACGTCATTTATGGACGGCCCCTAATAATTAGTTAATTGGTTACCATTTTCCTCTATTTTGCATTCCTATCGCGTTGTCTTGCTTGCTGTTCAAACTTGCTAAGCAGCCGCTGCTAAAACATCTGTGAGAAAAGAGCTTTATAAGACTCTGATTCTGCAGTGACGTACTGTAGCCAACAATCGAATTGTGATAGTGGAATCGTTTGTAAGGAATCTAATCGCGCGGTGGCGAGAGAGATGATGTGAGATTGGGGGTGCAGGAGGAGGTGGAGGAGGCTACTCCACCCACGCAGCTCCAACACCCCCAGTTCACTGAGACATGCACTCGAACTAACCCAAGCGGGAACCCTCCTGGATAATACGATAAAAAAATAAGTCTCAAGATTCGGAAAAAAAATAGAAAATACTATCATACATCATTCTGACGAACCGACCAGCGTGGTGAAGTATGGTCAAACTCCCCCCGCCCCCCCCCCCCCCCATGACCGACACTACAGCGTGGGGGGAAGCCACTTTCATCCAGCAGTGGATTGACAAATCGCTGTGCCTTATAACAGTGTGAAGTGTGTGTGTGTGTGTGTCCGCGTGTTGTGCGTGGGGGGGGGGGGGGGGGTTGCAGTGAGGAGCGGTGGGCGCAGTGGTTAGCGCTCTGCGCTACGAACCTGGTGCAACCCTGAATTCGATTCCCGACAGCCACGGCTAACATCAGCGGCGAGCGATAATCTGAACCGGTACTGGACTTCCCCCAAGGTCAACTCGGCCTTTAATGTGTACCTAACGGTGGGGGTAATGTAAAACATACTGGGGATGCAAAGGCGACCGGGTGTGGTGGTTCACATCACGTACACCCTCTGTCGACATTCATCGGTGCTCAGCACTTGGCTCTACAGCCTGCGTGGAGCTACACGGGGATCTTTGTCTTTGCACTTGGGGAATGGGTGCTGAGACAAAGAGACGGAGGAGGCATCGCCACCCATTGTTCTGGCTCTGGGCTGAGCCGGACTTGAGCCCAACACTGCGATCTGCGTACGCATGCATGTACCCACATGTAGCCACATGTACTCACGTGTACCCACATGCACCCATTCACTACCCACCCTTCACCGCCAATGCAATGCAGCGCCGCGTTAATTAAAAGCAGTCCCTATGATTGCGCTGGCTAACCCAGACGCGGTTTGTAACAGTTTCATATTTAAAATGTTCACCGTTATTTGTCGTGTTGTGTGTGTGTGTGTGTTGTCAAGTCTGCATCTCCCGGTGTTATTTTTGTATGGGTGGTCGGTGGTGGTGGTGGTGACAGTGTTACAATGTGAATGCGTGGCCACGAAATCTGTCATCATCATCATTGCCATCATCACTGGTCATGGGCATTCCACTGCTAGATGAATGCCCCCCCCACCCTCCCTTCCTCACCACCATGCCCCGCAGACGCCTCGCTGCCCTCCCACAATGCTGCGATGTAAGGACAATGACAATCAGCCCTCGCGCCAAACCACTCGATGGTGATTGTCGTGATATAAGACGCGCGTGTTGTGTGTGTGTTCGAGCGATGACGTGCATAGCAGACGGTACATAAACCACTTGGCGTTGAGCTATTGTGTGTGTGTGTTCGCGTATCGTGGCGTCTTGCAAAGGTGGCATTAGCCAGAGACCATTTCACAATCCCCTGGGAATGACATCACCGCTGAGCAATGAATTAAAAAAGACGAAGATACGCGTAATAGTTTATTTTTATATGCGGGGTTACAGAACAATAGGTCTATTTAATCATCTCATTATTTGAAACGATGCACCGCAGCGCACCGTGAGTTTGTTTTTTCATACAATACGCTGCTGCTGCTGTTGTTGTTGTTTGTTGGCTGTGACGAGAGACCGTTGTTTAGAGAGGGTGCTGCCACCGGTTATTATATGGGCAAAATCCACAGCGTTTGTTTTAGCAAGCCTGCCGGACTGCCGATGAGACCCCTGCACGGCGTTTTCGCTTCGGGAATTGCCGCGCCGCATAATATGAATGTCTAGCAGACGCTTGGGCCGGTAGACTAAAACAACATCGAATGTGGAGGTACAGCAGAACGGGAGGATATTTATACTCTCTGGTTCTTTCGGTAAAGTCACGCAGATAGGAAAAATATGATAATTAAATAAATAAAGCGCGCCGTTTCGGTCACAAGCATCCGACCAAAACGTCGTGTTTTATTTTATTTTATCATTTTTTTCGATCTACGTGGACTTTACCGAAAGAAGCAGAGCGTATGGATTCCTGCAGTTACGAAGGCTTCAAATAAAGGGAGGATATTTATTCATCTTAAAACATGAACATTGTAAATTGCCACAACTGAGTTCAACATCGGTATGGCCATCGACACGAAGCGGGCATACAGTTGTTCTTGTTGTTGTCTGGATTACACCTTGTATACATGTATGTTGTATGTATGTTGTATGTATGTTGAACCTGATCATTATGCGACAGTCACAACTCTGGCTGTCGCCTGATGATGCCAGTTGTAATTACTAGCGAAACGTCGTACTCGAATTGCAAATGTCGTGGGCTTACTCTCCAACACACCGGTGTGCTGTATTAGTAAGGAATTGCCATGTTTTGTTTACGTGACAACCCTTGTTCATTGGCTGTAGGGTGTTGGTGGGTTTATTTTTATGCGATCTAACCCAAAAACCTCTATTGTGGATAATATTGGTCACGAAAGCCTGCGTGTTAAGCTGATGTTGAACTTTTTAAAGCCAAACGTGCCAACAATCGGAGGTGCGGAGGAAGGAAAACAATTTGTATTTAGCGCCAGTAACCAAACACCAAAGGGCACATTCTGGCATCTGTTGCTTTATTCATATAAACAAAATATGTCATACAAAACCGAATAAAATGAAAATAAAACCCAACACTTTTAACCGTCACGCGCCTCCTGTGTTAAATGTCGCAGTACTTCGACAATCTTGTCTGGATCGTCGTGAAAAGTGAGGTTTTCCTGGGGTAAACGCGCGTGGTAACAATATTTTCGATAGTGAACACTGCTACTGTACTAAATTCACACAACAATGGTGACACTTTTTGTACAATCTCTGGTCTCCTTCGTATGGCTGTTATTTCACGTAGAACAGCAACTATAACGATCACGGTCAACGCCAGTGACGATTATCTGAACCGGTCCTGGGCCTCTCCTAGATCGACTCAGCCTCAAACGAGTGCCTGGTGCGGCGTGTAAACATCGCCACTGGGGAGACAAAGGCGGCCGGGCGTGGTGAGGGGGGGGGGATAACAACAATAACATTTTGTGTATCGGGCATTGAGTCGTTAAATGTTCCATGGTCTGCTCTGGGTGGTGACCACAGGTGCACATCGGAGAGTTTTTTTGGGGTTTTATAATTTTCCACTTGTGCACACTCAAGTGCCCGCATCTGCTGCAATGGTTCGTGTGCGGATGCGGTTTCGGGGGTTGTGGGCCCATGAGCTTCGTGGTGGATCAAAGCCAGGGGGGCGGGGGGGGGTCTTCTGGGATGGGTCGTATCGAGGGGAGAGAGTGTGGACAGCGGGTGATTGTGAATCGAGCTGAGTGGGGGGGGGGGGGGTAACGGTTCAATGTTGGCTTTGAATCTCCCGCTCCCGGACAGCATCATTCTCTTGCACTCGTTAGCGACTGGCAAATGCTCACGCACCCTGCGAGGGAGACGTACGATGCTCCTCTGTCCGCTGCGCCCTACATTACGCTAATTGGGATCGTAGGTCACGGCGGGGGGGGGGGACTTCGAGCTGTGCCACCCGCAATTAACCACTTTCCCGAACGCCTTCACCTCGTCCCTACAGCTGTGAGCGCCACACGTCGTCAATTAACAGGCGCCAGGAGCCCGCAGTGGGCGGCGGTGGTGGTGGTGGTGATAGAGGCGATGGTGGTCTTGGTGATAGCGGCTGTGGTGGTGATGGTGGTTATACTAGCCATGGTCGTGGCTTCGATGACACTGGTAGTAATGACTTTTGGTGAAACTGCTCATGGTGGTGCCTGTGGTGATGTTGGTGGAGGTGGCTGTGGTGATGTTGGTGGTGGTGGCTGTGGTGATGTTGGTGGTGGTGGCTGTGGTGATGTTGGTGGTGGTGGCTGTGGTGATGCTGGTGGTGGTGGCTGTAGTGATGTTGTTGGTGGTGGCTGTGGTGATGTTGTTGGTGGCTGTGGTGATGTTGGTGGTGGCTGTGGTGATGTTGGTGGTGGCTGTGGTGATGCTGGTGGTGGTGGCTGTGGTGATGTTGGTGGTGGTGGCTGTGGTGATGTTGGTGGAGGTGGCTGTGGTGATGTTGGTAGGGGTGGCTGTGGTGATGTTGGTGGTGGCTGTGGTGATGTTGGTGGTGGCTGTGGTGATGTTGGTGGTGGTGGCTGTGGTGATGTTGGTGGTGGTGGCTGTGGTGATGTTGGTGGTGGTGGCTGTGGTGATGCTGGTGGTGGTGGCTGTGGTGACATTGATGGTGGTGCCCGTGGTGGTGATGTTGGTGGTGGTGGCTGTGGTGATGTTGGTGGTGGTGGCTGTGGTGATGTTGGTGGTGGTGGCTGTGGTGATGGTGGTGGTGGCTGTGGTGATGTTGGTGGTGGTGGCTGTGGTGATGTTGGTGGTGGTGGCTGTGGTGACATTGGTGGTGGTGCCCGTGGTGGTGATGTTGGTGGCTGTGGTGACATTGGTGGTGGTGATGTTGGTGGTGGCTGTGGTGATACTGGTGGTGGTGGTAGAGGCAATGTTGAGACTGGTAGTCGTAGTGATGTAACATGGCGACGGTGGTTGGAGGAGCGGTAGTGCAGTGGTTAGCGCAGTTGCTGCCTTACGAACCACCGCTACCCGAGTTCGATTCCCGCTTACGGCCAACACCAGTGACGATTATCTGAACGGGACCCGGGCCTCCCCCCTAGGTCTACTCAGCCTCAAAAACGAGTACCTGGTGCGATGTGTGAGCATCGCCACTGGGGGAGACAAAGGCGGCCGGGCGTGCCGTGCCGGCCTTCATAGGTGCTACTCGTGAACAGCACCTTGCCCCAACAGTCTGTTAAAGACTACACGGGGTAATCTTTGTCTTCTTGTTATTGTTGGTGGTGGTTGTGTTGGTGGTTGTTAATTGAGACGACGGTGCCTGTTGCACTCGATGGGTGCGGCTGCAACCGGAGACTTCGCTTGCAGGGCCCTCTCGGCACGTCACGGGCACGTGGTGCACGCGCGTTTGCCAGTGGCAGATAACAAAATGCCATGATTCTCTCTCTCTCAAAAATGGAATGTCAAATATTCTGTACGATTGTACATGTGACGTGCCATTTTAAAGAGCGACCTTCCCACGCACGTCTGCTCACTCGGCCGAGCAATTATCGCGAATGGAATAACCGTGGCAGTGTTTTCCAAGTCCTAGCTGCTCCTAAATGTTTCGTGCGGGTGAGAAATCCCTTTCAACCGTTGCATTGCTCGTGTGTGTGTGTGTAATTGATATGTTCCACACGTGTATTGGATACGATAAATGGCATATGTACGGCACGCTGTTTGTTCGCGGTTGGGTGAGCTCACACGTCGTTACGTCTCCCTCTTGTGGACGCGGAGGCATCGAGTATTAAGCGAATGCCTCTGGGAACCAGAATCGTGACCATGGGAGGAAGACTGGTTTGGGAGGACAGAATTGGGGGGGGGGGGGTGGTGAGATAGTGCGATGGTTGAATGGGTGGCATGCCGTGTCAACCCATACAGTGTACCCCGTATTCTTGTACACTACACTATACACTACACTACTATACCGTGTCAACCCACACGGTTTAGCCCGTATTCTTGTACAGGGAAATTTCGTTTTCAGATCCATACGGCGTTGCAGCCGTTTCAATACGCGCAAAATATATTTTTTTATTATGAAAAATATTTGTCGCCTATTTGTGATTCTCCCTTGTGTTGGGACTTTGTAGGATGAATGTTGAGATCTATAAGGGCACGGGGTGACCAATAAGGTCCGAATTTGTCTGTAATAAGGCAGGGCACTGACAAGGGGTTGACAGGTATGCGGTGGGATGGATGGAAAGTGGGGGTGGATGAATGGTTGGATGGTGAAGTGGTTGGATGATGGGATAGTGGGTGGGCGATCAAAATAGGCGGCTCAAGAGCTGGTGAGCTATTGCGCTGGTTGTCCGACTAAGCCTTAACATCTTTAAATAATTGTGCATTGCAATTAGAGAGGTAACACACGGGTCGTAAATAATTTCAGCAGTTTGGAAGTAAAGTGCAGGGGGAATTAGGAACTCGCATGGTGACCAGTTCTGCATTCAGAAGTTAAAGTTCGTCAAACAATTTCCCATTTCCTTGGGGCCGTCGAGGAGGATGGGTGCAAGTTTCCCGTGGCTACATTGGGCAGCGCAGTACGGGTGCAGACGCCGAGTCGGCTTGTCGCGGTTGTGTCACACGGCTCTCCGGTGTGTTTTTGGGTTGTAACGGCAAAGCCCTGCCACCTCGGCACGACGAAGAGTGCGGTGCAGCTCGGTTGCCTTTTCCTGGCGAGCGGTTGGCTCGTAGGCTTCCAGCGGCTTCTTCTCCTTCCTCTTGTTCTTCCTCTTTCGTATGGCAAGATGAACTTAGCAACGTTATCTGTGCGGATATTGTGGCGATTAAGCCGTTCAGGAGGCTCTCTGGAGGCTTGGCGAATGTCGGTGATAATTGCGCCTTAGTTGGTGGCGCATGGGGGCCGTGTGGGATCACGTGATCCACGGTCTGTGAATTGGCGCTTGAAGCGGGCAGTGTGAGATCGCGTGACCCATGGTCTGGCTCTGGTAACCGCGGTCACATTGCGGATTGTTCTTCGTTTGTTCTTCATTCCAGCGGCTGATATTGGTGGAGAGATGTGAGGAAGGTGGTGGGGGGGGTGAAGGATTGAGCCGAGGCCGGACGCGACTGCACGGACGTACGGCGAGCCTGGTAGCGCCGCAGGCACGGACTGGCCCACGTGTACTGACGAGGCGCGTTTGTTGAATCTCTTTTGTGCTGTTTGGGCCGCTCCGTCCGTGCCCACGACGATCCCCCTCCCCCAGAGCCTCGCCGCACGCACCCAACAGACTTCGAGAAGGTTGGCCAGACAGTTTATTTCCTTGTCGTTAATTGTATCAATTGCAACGTAACTTTTTTTTAAAATATCACGACCTGCCACGAATATCAAAATTGTACTTGTGCCGCAGCTTACATCTTTTAAACGTGTGTGTGAGGTTTGTGTGTGCGTGCGTGCGTTTCTGAGGTTTGTGCGTGTGAGGTTTGTGTGTGCGTGTCAGTTTTTTGCGTGCGTGTGAGGCTTGTTTGTGCGTGAGGTTTTTTTCGTTTGTTAACATATGTAAGTATTTGTGGCGCAGTGGTTATTGCACTGCACCATTAACCTCGGCGACCTGAGTTCGATTCCCAGGCACGGCTAACATCAATACATCAATGGCTGTTGAGCGATACCCTCCCCCCTCTTCACCAAACCGCACTCACCAGCGTGGTGAAGTATGGTCAAACAACCCCCATGACCAGCACGAGGCCTTCATCCGGCAGTTGATTGACAAACAGCTGTCAATTACAATCATTCATTATCAACACCATCTTCAACCGTGGTCAATCCACCGCTCGACTGAAGGCGTCTCAAAGCTGCCACCATCTCGCACGCACGATGTCGCAGTGTCACAATCCACCCAGCGCCCGCACGAGAGCCGATTTCATCGCTCCGTCTCCTCCCTGGCGGTCGCCCTCCTCCCCCCCACCCCCACCCCGCTCAACCATCTCGGACGCGTGCGACCACAAAATAATAAGAAATGAGACAAAATAAGGAATCACAGCTGCCCGATTTTGGCGAGGCAGTCACGGAATTCGACCAACTCGGCGATGTTCCCGTCCAGCGTGCGGAGCCATCCGTCAATCTCCCGTCCGGCGGCCTCCTTCTTCCTCTGCCTCTCCGAGAGCTCCTCCTTCAGCGCGCTCGCTCGCTTCTGCAGCTCCGCGTTCTTCTGCTCCGTCTCCTGAGCAAAGCGAGCACGCCGGTGGCAGAGAGCGGTTGACGCCGGTGGCGAGGGTGGCACGGGCGGTCCTGGTTACACGGAATTAAACAGGGCCCCCCCCCCCCCGTCTAATTTCCCGCTCCCTCTCTTTGTGGCCCAGCGTGTGGGACCCCCTTCTGGCCCGTGGGACTCCCTTCTGGCCCGTGGGCTCCGGTGCAGCCACACCGCTTGCACACTCGACAGCTGTGGCCCTGCTATCTGATTAGAATTGACATGATGGATTACGGCTGACGATTACTGCGTCTGACTAACTCGGACATTCTGCGGTTGTGAAAATCGATCTCCCCTCTGCTCCCGCTCGTCACCAATTTTTTGTCGATTCATCGACTTCATCGACCAATCGTCCCAAGCTCGAGAAGTAAACGAGGCCCAGTTCCCGTTTCCCTCGTAGGCCTCCGCCTGGGACCCTCCGGCCCACGGGCGCCCCTGTGCAGTTGCACCGCCTGCGTATTCGATAGCCACGCCGAGGGGCGGAGCCAGGGGGGGTGACAGGGGGGGTGACAGGGGTGACATTCTGCGTGTTAGTGTACGACACTCGGTCTGGCGGACTCCGTGCAACTGCATTGTCAGAGTGTGTCGCCAACCGATGGCGTCTAGTTCAACAGCCTGACTCTCTAAATCATTCTTGAAATTAACATTTGTTGAATGTCACCCCGGCCTGAAATCCTGGCCCCGCCCCTGGCCACGCCGGACCCTCAGAGGCGGCGGCGCGGGTTCGTTCGCACGTCCCTTCGATCGAGAGTCGCGAGGGAATTGAATTGAGCGCCTGGAGAAAATTCCAAGTTTAACCCACAAACACGAACCGAGCTGACGATCAAACGCTTGGGTCCAGTCGCGATGCCCGACGATTCGCTGCACTTGCTGGGGGCCTTTTTCAAGAAATACAGTTTGAATCACTGAATTGAGATAGGAGCATTGAATTCAAATCCCGAAGATGCTCCCAGTCCGCGGAGCAAAACGTCGGGGCGTGATGCCGAACCACGCGCGGTACCACCTGGAAACTTATCGCAAGGATAAACACAGCCGGTTGTTCTGTAACACGGTAGTTGCGTTCCTGAAGAACACCACGTTATAGAACAGACTGTATAGCGCAGCCGCGAAGACCCACGTTGTCGTAAGGATTTTTGACGTAGGGATTTGAGGTGTAATAATTACATCCCCACCAGCGATTCGATTGCTTTTCACGATTCAAGGGTGGATCCTCATTGTTTTTAACGTCTCTTGCGTACTGCTTTGTTATTCTTCGCCTTGCATGTCGTGTCTTTTTTGTGTCCCGTCTTGTGCGTTCTGTCAGCTTAATGGTGCACTGGCAGGTAATTTGTTTACATTCCCAAACATGGATTGATTAATGATTTGATGCGAGGTTCATTGGCATAATAATCAATTTCAATCGATGCATTTTTTTCATGCTGCGTGATCCTTTTCTGCACGTAAGGGAACTTTTTTTATTTAATTATTTTAGCACTTCTTCCCAGTGCTCTGCCGATTGTACCATCGGCGTCGCTCATGGGACAAAGTGTCTACTTGTGCATCGCCTCTGCGGTAGACGAAAACTCATGGAAGGTGACATCACAGAACTACTTCCGAGTTCCCTTGCCGTGACCTCTATCCACACGCTAATGCGCTACCCACGTGCCTGGCCTCAGGGAGATGAATCTACGGCAGCTCAGCCAGCACGCTGTGAATGATAGGGGCCAGCGCTGTCCCACCCGGTTTGCCGCTAAGAATAATGGCCAATTCGGTCATTTTTAATTCTCAGAGCTGGAACTCGGCCGCAGTGTGTTACGAAACCAAAGCGAATATGATCGGGAAAGTTTAACTGTTTTTCACGTGCAGTCATTGGTGACCGGGCTGAGACCATCAACTCACAACCACGGAACTCAGCCGTTGCCAGCCTCAACGCTCTGATCCGAGTCTCCAGGCCACCACGATGCCCTTGCTGTTATCAACACCGGCGCATAGCGGGTTGCGCTCTCTCGTGAACTGCATCGTGGGCTAGTTTCTAAATGTGGAGGGAAAAACCAGAGGACCCCGGAGATAAATCCACGCAATTATGGGGAGAACATGCAAATATACAGGGTTGGCATTGAACCCACGACCTCCTGTATACCAGGCGAGGTAGTTAACATCTTGGCACCAGTAAGCCTCTTTCACCTATACATGTCATTCCACCCCTAAAAATGTTAAGTGTTTTTCACACATCCCATTAACCACGCGGCCTTCTGGGAGTGCTTCATATCAGCAGCATTGGGTTCAGCACAAGCAACACTCTATACCGGCTTCGCCATTCAGTGTCGCAGAGTTTTGCTTGCATCGAACAAATGCCGATGAACTTTTGCACTCCAAGCAGAAGGTCGTGTGGCCGATGGGATGTGTGAAAAATACTTTAATTTGTTGTTGTTGTTGTGTGGAAGGACAGTTATGTGAAGGAGGCGAATTGTCCGTTTCCTGCGACGTGGCTTCTGCTGTTCTCCACAACATCTGCTCACGTCCGTCGTGCGTTCGACTCCAGCTCACACCCCCCGCCCCCCCCCGCGTCTACGTGGAACGGCTGCGACGGCCACTCCTTAACTGTACGCATTTTCTGTGCGATTTGGTCCGATCCCCTCCAACTATTGCAGACGGAACGTCCATCGCCGAGCGAAGCAGCCGCCCGCAGACACTCCGCGATTGCCCCCCAGCCTGCCCCGAGGCCTCCTCGGTCGTCGTCTCAGCCACGTGGGGGAAGCTGCCGTACCCGGCGGGGGGTTCCCTCCTCGTCGTCCGCTACAGGTGAGGCAGCCTCGTCCAGGCAGGGGAGGTGGAGGATGAGGAGAAGTGAGGGGGGGGAGAGAGGAGGAGGAGGAGGGGGGGAGGAGGAGGACGTTCTCACCTTGATCTTTTGCAGATTCCTCTCAGCCTCCTCCTTCATCTCCTTCACCTCCTCGTGTCTCTGCGTGAGCAGCGCTCGCTCCTGCGAGAGGGCCACGTGTCGCACGCACGCTGCGTTGTGGTGGTGGTGCAGGTTGGGTGGGGTGGCCGGGTCCCCCGAGCGTGGGGGGTGGTGCGGTGTTCCACGCATCAGGTGGGCCACTTCACCAACCCGCATATCTCTTCACCCCCCCCCCCCCCAATAGTCCTTAGTAAAAGGACTCGCAGATTTACTGACATTGGGTAAAGCCATGCAGCAACATCACCCCCTAACTGTGAAGCTACCGCAAGCCGTGGCCGTCGGTGAAGCGAAGCGCCTTCGTGATACAGCCTTGCGCTACGAGAACGGCGCGGATAGCAAATGAGCCGATGGCTTTCGTGTGAATGATTATTATTGTTATTGCAACTTGTTTACCCGGTAAGGTCTCGCCGAGGCTCAAGGCCTCTTCTTCAGCAGGATCCTGCTCCCGCTCGGTTTTCGCGGTAGGAGGTAGCGATCGCGACGAGTTTTCCCCAACGGATTAATTTACGGGTGTAATTTTTCCCATTTCGCAAATTTGGCTCGTGGTGTGCTCGCACGCAATGGCCTACCCTTCAAATGACGTCACGTTTACTTTTTGTTTCAACGTCCGCAGGCGACGCGTATTTCACGGTCGGTGCACACGCAGCATTAACCGGTGCCGCCTGCCGGATTCGAACCGCGAACCTCCCCAACAAACTATATTCTAAAAATATATATATATTTTACCAGGTAAGCGGGGAACGCGCTGCCGCTGGGCCACGTCGTCGCCCGTGCCGGGCCGTCTACCCGTGCCGGGAAGCGCGGCAGCGCCTTCGCGAGGCAGCCGCCTGCGCTCTTGAGCGTGGCGCGAGTGGCCGAAGGCGTCGGGTTCGCCCGGCGTCGCGTACCTGCTCCCTCTCGCTGATCTGGAACTCCAGCTCCTGCGCGTGCCGGCTCAGCTGCGCGTTGCTCGCCAGCAGGCGGTCGGCCTCCGCGCGTCGCCGCTCCAGCTCGTTCACCTGCGCAGGCGCCAATGCCACCGTCGTTCAGGATCCCTTAGGGCCTCGTTACCCGCCGAACGTTTTTGCCGGCTCGCCGCCAGACCCGGAGTAGGTGGCACGCGGCGACTATAGCGGCCGCCGTAGCGGGGGGCATACGGGATCTGGTGTGCGGGGTGTGGGAATATTTACCAGGCTGCCGGTAGACTGGCATAGGCACGTGGCTCGTAGTAGCGGGAAGTTTACGGGACTTTGTTTGTTATCGCGGTATCTTAATGCAGGCCGGAAAGACACAATACCCCACGTGGCCAGCAACAAACAGCACTATAATATATCTAAGAATGGAACGTGTATCTTGACTTGAGCAACGTTGCGGTAACAACTTTGGGAAAATAGATGAAGTGGGTGGGTGGGTGGGTGAGTGGGTGGGTGGGTGAGTGAGTGGGTGAGTGGGTGGGTTGGTGGGTGAGTGAGTGGGTGATTGAGTGAGTGAAGGGTGGGTGGGTGGGTGAGTGAGTGGGTGAGTGAGTGAGTGGGTGGGTGAGTGGGTGGGTGAGTGGGTGGGTAGGTGGGTGAGTGAGTGGGTGAGTGAGTGAGTGGGTGAGTGAGTGGGTGGGTGGGTGAGTGGGTGGGTGGGTGGGTGAGTGAGTGGGTGAGTGAGTGAGTGGGTGGGTGAGTGGGTGGGTGGGTGAGTGAGTGGGTGATTGAGTGAGTGAGGGGTGGGTGGGTGGGTGAGTGAGTGGGTGGGTGGGTGGGTGAGTGAGTGAGTGGGTGAGTGAGTGAGTGGGTGGGTGGGTGGGTGAGTGGGTGGGTGGGTGGGTGAGTGGGTGGGTGGGTGAGTGGGTGAGTGAGTGAGTGAGTGGGTGGGTGGGTGAGTGAGTGGGTGAGTGAGTGAGTGGGTGAGCGCGTGAGTCTGTTGTTGTGACTTGCAGTGCGGTGGGTGAGTGACCCGGATTCAATTCCCTCTCACGAGTGAAAATCATCTGAACCAGTCCTGGGCCTCCCTTAGGTCGACTTAGCCTCAAATGAGTACCTGGTGTGATGTGTAAACATTGCCACTCGGGAGACAAAGGCAGCCGGGCGTGGTTGGCCACCTCCCCTCGTGTGCTGTTCCAGCCTTCGTAGGTGCTACTCGCTGACATCGCTTGCCCCAACGGTCTGTTAATGCTATGAGGGGGATCTTTATCTTTGTTTATTTTACCATACTACGTCTCCCGACCCATCTCGAGCATGTTAGTAACCCCTGCCAAGGGTCGAGCTTCTTCTCTCTAACTGCATTTTTTATGTTACCAGGCAAGGCCCACTGAGCTACGCGGCTCTTTTTGAGAAGTGGCTTGGCCACAAATGATAGCTCGTCGAAGTGGCTTATCGTCACGTGGAAATTTATAGCAGCCAAATACTCCTGAAACGTGTGATGTTGATTCTAGAGAGAAACCGGAGGATCTTGAGAAAAATCCAAGCGACCACGGAGAGAACGTGCAAACTCCAAATATACAGCAGGCATCAGGGTCGGATCGAGCCCAACGAGCTCCTGCGTACCAGGCGAGGGAGTTAACATCACGTGACCACGACGCCCCTTTCACTTCACAAAACGCGAGCCGTGCACCGCTGCCGTTAGAGCGCGCACCGCCACTCGCAATCACAAATCTCCGGCGGGAGGTCAAATCTGCCCATCGTCATTCTAAGAAGCGAGGGGGGGGGGGTCGATACAATGAGTAATACACTGTGAGGAAGTAAATACTGGATTTGCCATATCGATAGCTCTTCTCTTCTTGCCGTGAGAATGTGGAAGAAAAATCCCCCACCACTGCCTCGGGGCTGTAAAGAGAAGACGAGCGCTGCCCTGGGCTCCACCGGGAATAGTCGCGCAGGGCGCCACGCTCACGACAATCACGATGGCGACGATGATGACGACGACGATGACGACGACGACGACGATGTCGACGACGACGATGATGGTGACGACGACGATGATGATGACGACGACGTTGATGACGATGACGACGATGACGATGACGACGACGACGATGACAACAATGATGACGACGATGACGACGATGATGACGATGACGATGACGACGGCATCGCCCTTTACACGATGGCATCTCACGGCACTTTGGCAATACGCCCGTTGCACAAATTGTGCACAGGAATTGGGGACCACGTGCCCAGATGTCCCCCCTGCCCCCCCCCGCCCCACCCCCGTGTTTGGCAGGAACAAGGGGGGGGGGCGGGGGGGGGTGAGCACTGAACCTGACCCCTCCCCCAGGGGCCACTCGGCCGTGAACGAGGACACGAGCGGGGTTTGGGAGTGGCGGCGAACGGCCGACCCGTCGCGTGCCCCCCCCCCCCCCCGCTATTTATCTACCCCCGGCTTTGCCCCCCTCGGTTCATTTATTTCGGCGGGGATGTGTTAAAAGGCGGTGGTTGTGCGCCCGCGCGCGCTACCTCGGCGGAGTGCGCCAGCCACAATGGGGGCCCTCTTGTGGAGACCGCCGCCACCGCCGTGGCGGAGAAGGAATTTGGCGAAAGAAAGGCGGCCGTGCAATAAGTCGCCCGGCTACGGCGCACGTCTCACCGAATTCCGCAACTGTGGCGTCCGCGACCTTTGTGTGCTTGGCGGTAAACTGTGCGCGCGTGCGTGTCTTTACTGCGCCCCCGCGGGAAGTGGAAAAAAGTCATTACCGCTAATCTGAAGCCTAATCCCGCCCGTAAAGGACAACCCGATCCATAGGTCGCGGCCGCTCGACCTGACCCCCGACGCTAATCCCACCGATAGGTCGCGGCCATCGCTTACGGACAGTGGCACGCGGCCGCCCGCCCGCCCGCTCGCTCGCTCGCTCGCTCGCTCGCTCGCGCGTCGCGCAAAGCTGAACGTGAATTTTGCGGCGAGCGTCCCTCCTTGCAGAGGACGCGAAGTCGACTACTGGCGTCCCTGGAATAACGACAACTCAGCCCTCGTCAATAACGCCGCCCCGAAGCGAGGACGTGCAGGGCAGGTGGACGCGTCGTGCAAACCGCCCTTCTCCATTGCAACGATTCAGGCGATGGAATTGCTGCCTGCGCAGTGTCATGCGCCTTGCTGTGCCATATTGTGGAGGAGAAGGTATCTTTTGCCTCGTCATTGCCGTGGCAACCGCTCAATATGCACACAGCGGGGGACCTGTCACGTGGATGGCCTGAGCTCCGTCATGGGAACGTGGAATGTACGCAGAATCGCTCGGGGTCATCATCACCTTGGTCTACGTCTCGCCATCTCGCGGCGGCGAGGTGTTATCTCCCTCGCCCGGTGTGCAGGAGGTCGCGGGTGCGGTCCCGACCCCTGTACAGTACACAGGCGGTCCTCGCTTTAACGACAGGATGCGTTCCTGGAAGCTCCGTCGTAAATCTGACGGTCACACATGGGACCGTGCTTTCCCATAGACAGTGGGCACAGTAGAAACATCCCTTGCCAATGTCCCTTTCCTTTTATCGGACATATCTAACGGGGTTTCACAGGGAAACATCCACAACAACACTTGAGAATAACAAAAGCTCCACGCCAAGTCGGATCGGAAAATCAGACCGTCTCTGTTCTAATGCGTTCGGGGTAATGTCGAAAGATGCACCGTAAATGAAGTTTCTACGCCGTAAATGAAGTTTCTTCGCCGTAAATGAAGTTTCTTAGCCGTAAATGAAGTTTCGTCGCCGTAAATCGATCCATCGTGGTGTTGTATAAACGTCATGAATGTGGATCGTCATAAACCCGACCACCATAAACTGGAGATCGCCTGTATTTGGAGTCTGCGGTGTCTCTCTCTCCTCGTGGTCGCGTGGATTTTTTCTCCAGGTCCTCCGGTTGTTCCCTCCACATTTAGAACCAACGTCACGCGTTTAGAGTATTCGGCTGCTGTAAATTCTCACATGCGATAAGGCACTCCGTTTAGCTATCATTTGTGAACAGGTTGCTTCTGAAAAAGAGCTGTATAACTCGGTGAGCTTTACCTGGTAAATAAAATAGTTTCAATAGTTTTTAGTTTAACTGTTTTGTATCGTCCGTACTGCTTTCAATCACGACACCGCAGGTCACAACAACAACACACTCACTCACCACACTCACTCATCCACACTCACTCACCACATTCACTCACCACACTCACTCATCCACTCACTCACTCACCACACTCACTCATCCACTCACTCACTCACCACACTCACTCATCCACTCACTCACTCACCACACTCACTCATCCACTCACTCACCACACTCACTCATCCACTCACTCACTCACCACACTCACTCATCCACTCACTCACTCATCCACTCACTCACTCACTCACCACATTCACTCACCACACTCACCAAACTCACTCACTCACCACACTCACTCACTCATCCACTCACTCACCACAATCACTCATCCACTCACTCACTCACCACACTCACTCATCCACTCACTCACTCACCACACTCACCACACTCACTGATCCACTCACTCATTCACCACACTCACTCATCCACTCACTCACCACACTCATTCACTCACAACAACAACACTCACTCACCCACTTACTCACCACACTCACTCATCCACTCACTCACAACACTCACTCACTCATCCACTCCTCAACTCACTCACCACACTCACTCATCCACTCACAACGCTCACTCACCACACTCACCACACTCACTCATCCACTCACAACGCTCACTCACTCATCCACTCACTCACAACACTCACTCACTCATCCACTCATCCACTCACTCACTCACCACACTCACTCATCCACTCACAACGCTCACTCACTCATCCACTCACTCACCACACTCACTCACTCACTCACCCACTCAACCGTCACACCACACTCACTCATTCACTCACAACGCTCACTCACTCACCCACTCACCACACTCACTCACCACACTCACTCATCCACTCACTCACCCACCCACTCACTCATCCACTCACAACGCTCACTCACTCATCCACTCACTCACCACACTCACTCACTCATCCACTCACTCACTCACCACACTCACTCACCCACTCACTCACACACTCACTCACTCACCACACTCACTCACTCACCCACCCACTCAACCGCCACACCACAAGTCTCCAGAATGTTTACACTTCTTCCCTCGCACTGCTCCACTCTGGAATTCCCTCCCGTGGTCTAATTTTCCAAAGCTATTACAATAACCTCGCTCATTCCAAGAGATGCATTACACTCTTTTTTTTAACGATTACTGCTTTGATAAATGCTGTTTGTTGCTGGCCGCTGAGGATTGTGGACCTTTGTGCCTCTTCTCAGCAACCATGGTTAAAATTTAAAAAATCAGCAACTGCAGCCATTTTCTCTCCACTGCTGGATGAGGGCCTCCCTTGGAAGGCGTGACGGTGTGTGTGCTAGGAGCACAATGGATTGTGTCATTGCAGGAATGTACACGGTCTACCTTGCAAAGTTGCGGCCTTTAATAATGCGGGGATAACGCGTGGAAGCCCCCGTAAGGGCCCTTTGTCTTTGCTCTCATGCTTGTGATTCCTGTGGTGGTGGTGGTGGTGAATAAAAGTAGTTAATTATTCTAAATGATGTATTGCTCAAATGAACATTGAGGCGTCTCCTATTTGCAGCCATGAGGCAGTGGTGGATTTTCCACGAGTCTTTCCTAGTGATAACCCAACTGTCTGTTGGCTTCCCGACAAAGTGGCACGTACTTTATCCACCCCCGGAGGGATGGTGGGCTGAGACAACAAGCAACCCGGATTTGAACTCAACACTTTCCCACCGCGAGCCCCTTCTCACGAACAGTTCGCTGAGCTTTGGCACGCGTTGCGTTGCGCCGCTTGGCACGTGGATTTCCCGCGTGGGCCGCACGAAGATTCTAAGCGTCCATGGCCGAATGTTGGGCGCAAGGGTCGTTTGCACGAAGAAACTCTCGAGAACTGTCGCACCGGTCCTCGCTGGAGGTTCTGGGGTGTCCCGGCGCCGGGTAGGTGGCGGGCGCGGCTCGCTCGTTAACGCGCGCGCCTCTTCGTGCGCGGACGCTCTCCCCGCGAGTGACCTTTTTGAGTTGGCGGTCGCCGGGATGTGGGATTTCAAACGCGGGGATTACGCGGGGATTAAACCGCTCCCCGAGAACGCGCTGGCCGCGCCGGTCCCGCCAGACGCCGGCGCGCTCTGCCGCGGCCTTCTCAAAAAGCCCTTTCGGTCCAAAGCGCGCCCCGCGTTCGATGGATGTCGTCCGCCTTTGAAGTTCAAAAGCGGCAGTCCGGCCAGCGTGTGGGCGGGCGGGCGGGCGATCACGTGGGGCGGCGAGCGAGGGGAGGACGGGGAGGGGGGGTGGTCAGGGGTTGGCACGACTGGGTCGCCGCCGTGGGGAGCTTGGCCCCAGCGGCGTGTCCATCGGCTGCGACCTGGGCAGCCAACCGTGTCAGCCCGCTGCTGGACGAGGGCCTCCCCACGACGTGCGTGTTGCAATGCCGGCCAGCGTGGGTTTGGTGGATGTGGGGCGCTTGGACGGGGAGCGGACGAGTACGGTACAACGGTTGGGTTTAACTGCACTGTCCTTCGCTGCCCGGCACACAGCTCAGCAGCAGCCTACAGTGAGCTGTTTGAATAGTTAAGGATTTGTACTATTACGTAAATATTAATATGCCCAATTAATAGCTGGTCATTAGAAAAAAAAATTCAAATGTAACTCTTATGAGACCCCATGGTGTAAAGTGCAGCTCTTATTGTTCACCAAAACGTCTCCTATTTATTTTCAGTGTTATTGACGAATGTGTCGAGTATTTGTCGTTGTTACCTGTGCCTGTGCACCACTGCCAACGTAGCAGCAGCACCACATAATTTGTTACGATGATCGTCGCCCATCAAAGCGATGTCCAGGCTCAAAAAACCCTGCTTAGCTTTCGAGATCTGCCGAGATCGGCTGCATTCCCACCGATTTGGTCACAGGCATCTGCCACAAAGTCCATCGTAAAGGCCCGGTGAATGGGTTTCCTCGTCGGGAGCCACCGTGCGCTGTGTGCACCCAAGGATGGAGCCCCGATTGCCATTCGAAGAATTATCACGATTTGGCGTCACGATTTAGGGTCACAATTTGGGGTCACTAAGTCGATTCAAGAAGACCTGACGGTGGTCTTGGTCTCGTTTGTGCTGTTTGTCTCCTGCGTGCTGTCTTCTTCTGTATTCTGTCTTGTCTTTTCCATTGACCCAAAGGTGACCTTTAAATATAATTTGCACGAATTGCAAAGTAATTGATTCTTACAGTTAATTCCGTGCGTGTGTGCGTGTGCCATCGGTGTAGGAATTGATTTTAACTCGAATCAATAAATTGTTAGATACCCAGTCCATTCCGTGGCTCGACCAAACTCACCTTCAAAAACCCTCGAACATTCAAACATGCTCGAACATTGCCCCCCTCGCATTAAAAGCAAGCCTCCTTTGAAAAAAAACAGATCAGCAGTTGCACGGAGTTGAAAAAAATAAAAAAATGTCAACTCATTTTTTTTTTCCGGTTAAACACCGTAACCGATCACGTCTCAGCCGATGGCCCATCTTCGTGGTCCTTCGTGCCCTGAAGAAGAGCCGTTGCCCAAAACGTCGCCCGTTATATAATTTTCCCTTTTAAGGCCACACGCTGTGCTGTTGACGAACGTGCCGAGTCTTTTTTGGAGAAGCTCGTCACCGCGCGTAAATTGCAAAACGTGTTTTTGCCGCGGCGTCTCTGAGACGCCGTACGTGACCCGCTCTGGCGTGTGGATCAGAAGCACGCGACGAGCGTGACAAAGAAAGCCGAGTGGGAGCACGGAGAGCGGCACCCACGGATTTGGTCTGAGAGCCGGGAAAAGAGAAACCGGACGATTGGAGAACGTGCGCCGGTTAGAGACGTCTTCTTGACTTGCAGTACGCGTTGTTACACGTTGTTACACGTTGTTTCACGTTGTTACGCGTTGTTTCACGTTGTTACGCGTTGTTACACGTTGTTACACGTTGTTGCGCGTTGTTACACGTTGTTGTGCGTTGTTGCGCGTTGTTACACGTTGTTGTGCGTTGTTGCGCGTTGTTGCGCGTTGTTGCGCGTTGTTTCACGTTGTTGCGCGTTGTTGCACGTTGTTGCATGTTGTTGTGCGTTGTTGCACGTTGTTGCACGTTGTTACGCGTTGTTTAAAGCTGGTGTTTTTCTTCCGGGCCCGCGCTATTTTTCCGTGGCACTCTCTTTTCTCACGATGGATTTTCCCCTCCGTCTTACGAAATCGACGGCAATGACCGTTAGTAGTAATAATAGTAGTACAGTAGTAGTAAAAAAAATAAGTGTGCGTGGGGAGGACACCGCACTGGAAGGGATGATGATGACCAGTGGCCCGAGACCAACGGCAGAGTGGCAGCCAAAGGAGACCAACACGCCCGAGATCACGTCCACCGCGGAGATGAAGCAACGACATCCGCTCATGCTCTGTGGATCGTGGTGGATGTGCGAGTCGCCAGCTCACCTTGGCCAGCAGGGCCTCGCACTCCTGCCGGCAGGTGGCCGTCTCCCTCATGCTCGCCTCCGTGGCACTGTCGGCGGTCTCCAGCGAGGCCTTGAGCTCGGCGTTCACTCCCCGCAGGGCGGCCAGCTCCGCCTCCAACTCCTGGCCGTTCACCAAGCTGCTGGGAGAGGCGCACAGGAGGGGTCACGCTGGGGAGAGGTCACGCTCGGGAGAGGTCACGCTGGGGAGAGGTGACGCTCGGGAGAGGTCAAGCTCGGCAGAGGTCACGCTCGGGAGAGGTCACGCTGGGGAGAGGTGACGCTCGGGAGAGGTCACGCCCGGCAGAGGTCACGCGCGCGGCGATGGCTGGCGGTGGGGGGGGGGATGTGAGGAGATTCCTGATGCCGCTGGAGCGATTTCAGCGGTGGGAATTACGTGCCGGACGAACGGTTACTCGCGCTCGCTCTCGCTCTCTCACTCGGCCATTTACTCGCGTTCCACTAACTTACTCACCTACGCAAGCCCTCAATCAGTCAATCGATCACCCATGCAACCCACTCATGCAACCACTCACTCATGTCCCGCTGACTCACTCGCCTGCACACTCAATCACCTATGCACCCATGCATTCACTCACTCACGAAGTCACTCAAACACATTCACACTCGTTTGACTGCCTGAGCACTCACTCAACCTCCTACCTCTTCACAGACTACACACCCACTCGCTCATCCACGCATCGACTCACCCAGCCGCTCACTCACGCACTCACTTGCCCGCCGGCCCGCTCGCTCAGGCACTCGGTTACCCACACGCCCGCCCAGCCTTCCGTCCACGCGCTCGCTCGTCGCGACGCGATCCTCTTTGCCGACACGTGAAGCGCAGACCGCGGACGCGATCTCCGCGTGGTAGCCATGCCGACGTGGGGTCACCTGTCGCGGTAGCGCAAGCGGCCGTCCCCACGGGTCGTGCCCTTTCGCAACAGCGAGGCCCAACAACAACGCGTGAAGCGGTTGAATTTCATAATGATCGTCGTCGTCGTCGTCGTCGGTCATGATCTATTCCAGGGGTCGGCGGCCTGCGGCTCCGGCGCCGCATGCGAATCTTTCTGCTTGCTTCGTGACGTGCCGCGTGTGTTTATTCACCTTGCGGCTCTTGAAACGTTTTGAGTTTTGCAGCGGATTCGAAAAAAATGTCTCCCCTTGTTATTTTGGTTGCCGACCGCTGACCTATCGACTGCCGGATGAAGGCTTTTCGAAAGCGTCGCCATCTCTCGGTGTCGCGATTCTCAACATTGTATTATGATGATGATGACGACGCTTGTTCACCCCGGAGTCTCACGACTGTTTCACAGGAGGGTCCTGCCTAGTTGTGCGCAGTAGGGGGAGATGGTTGCGATGTCGATTCCGAAGGAGCCGATTTGATCGCTGCGTCTCTGTGCTGGAGGTGCCGCTCTCTGGCGTGTTTCCCTCCTTTGGCTGCTACTCCATCCTCAGTCTCGACCACTCTGATTCACGATTAATTCCGCAATTTTTTAGCCTTAATTACCACCAACCTAATAAAGTTTACAACAACAAACATTTTTCCAAACGCAGAAAGAAATATCTGAAATTGAAAAAAGTTGACATTGAAAAGAGGCCAAATTCAGAATCGTCACTGATACAGGGCTATTGCCTAAAACGTTAGCTTATTGTTTATATTTATATATTTTAATGTTGTTTTAATGTTGTAAGGACGTATGTATGTTGAACTTCTTTTGCACTGTACGTAACCAACCGTGCTAATCGGGTCGTTGATTCCTGTCTTGGTGGCGCCTCGTGCTCCGCCACAGCCCCTCACCCACCACCTCCTCCATCTCACGAGACGGGGGAGAGTGGGGGGCAGTCAGACTCGGTGAGACTTTGCCGGACGAGTAAATAACTACGATGATTACGACGACGATTATTTTGACGAAGGCCTTATTCCGTGTGGCGGTGGGGGGGGGGGAGTGGGGGAGGTGAACCCAGTCCGTCGCTCTGCGTGGGCTCGCGTTGCTTCTGAAGGTCGCGATTGATTTGCCAAAGGTCAGGGGGTTGCGGTGGAGCTCCCCTTTCTTCTCCTTGCTTGGATGCGAGCCTCGGCATTCATCGCGCGGAACAAAAGGGAGTCGTGTTACTCGGCGGAGGCCCTCTCGTATGTCGGACAAATCTGGGGCCTAGCGACACCGAGGTGATCCCGGAGCCGCACGCCGCCGCGTAGCCAGAGGCCGCCGCAGGTGGAGGCGGAGCGAGGGGCGGGGATCTGACGTCGCCGGAGTCCGCCGCCCGCTCTGGCATCGGCGGAGACGGACGGAACGCTGCCGCCTTCGTTGAACGTGGCAGAGCGCCGCTGAAAGCGCCCGTTATTCACTTGTACCCTCGGGCCGCCCGCCCGCCCGACTGCTGTAAATTGTTGATGTCTTCCATATCGCGACCCGTACTACAGGGTGTTTCAAAATGAATGGGCCCGATTTGAAATCGCTATATCTCTGCAACCACGAACCGCCCATGAATGAAACTCTTACCACTTTAAAGGGTGGGGCATAGAGTTTCAAATGATTCCCGCTAGATGCCTCTCCCAGCGCACAAACAGCCCCTAGCCTCAGTCATTCGCAAGACAACACTGCCTCAACGTTGGACAGGTCGCACGGGACCCCAAGACCTGGCGCTACACTCTTGGCCCCCAAGATCCCCAGACATCACCACAGCCTGCGACTTGTTCTTGTGGGGATACATCAAAGACCGTGGTGTCTTTGTGCCACCATTAGCGACTAATCTGGATGACCTCAAAAACAGAATCACGGCTGCGGTGACTTCAGTGGAAGAAGACACTTTGAGAGGCGTTTGGGACGAATTCAACTATCGTCTCGATGTTGTCCGTACAGCAGGTGGAGGGCACATAGAGCATTTATAAAATGGTTAGTAAAACTTAATAACTCAATCAACCTCTTGTAACTTTTTGTGTAAATGTAACATGTTGCCATCGTGAAATATGCTGCTTTCAGCCATCTTCCAGATGCAGCAGATGTTGCCAAGTCAAGACCCGACCTGCCCTCGCAGGATCCAGCAACCACTCGGCTTTGTGACCCTCCCCTCGTCCGCATCGCTCCGTCACGTGCGGAACACCCCGCGGCAGCTCCGTAGATCTTTCATTATTCGCGACGCCACGCGTCCGTCGCTGACTGCAGGGGGATTCGGACACCGGATCTCTACTGCGCTGGACTGCTTGTACCTATTTTCCACTGTGCCACGTCCGAGCCGAGCCAGCGTGGAGTCCCCACTGCGCACGTGGCTTTACCGCTGGCTCCTTGCTGTGCCCAGCCGGAGCCAAACTCTGATTCGCCGGCCTCACGCACAAGGCATCTGAATCTGACTCGGGGGGCCAAGCAGGGCCGGGGGCGGGGCTAACGGCGCATTTGTTGTGCGCGACGTCAGCGGCACGGGCCGGCTGGGCACGCACACGACACGCTGGGAAAAGAGCGAGGTCGCCGCGCACGCCGCCGGACACGCCGGATCTGGGAACCTGTGCGGGGGCGGTCTCCTGCCCGTCGACTCGTTCTCGGGCAGCGCCACCTGGCCAGGGAGGGCTCCAAACGTCTCGTCGGGTGCGGGAGGTCGCGCCGATCGCCTGGACTGGCCGCGTCGCAGGCCCTGAGGGCAGAAAGAGATAGCGGCCAGGCGAAAACAGTGCGGACGAGAATAAAACCTGGCCGTGCGTATGCGCGTTTTTCGTCCTTGGAAATAATAAATTGGCGATAGCAACGGGCAGCGCTCGTGGCAGGCGCCCAGGAAGCGGAGCGTTTCCCGTGTGGCGATGAGATAACGGCACTCGGAGGAGGCAGCTATGCTGGCTGAGCCAGGTGCTCTTGGCGCCGGTTTGTATCTCTCTCCGTTTGTAGGCAACACCTTTGGTCAATTTGGTCATTTATATACAGGGCAAGTCCTCGACAGCAGCACAAACCGGCCACTAAAGTTCGGTTCATATTAAATCATCGTTACGAGAGGTACCGTGGCCACTGTTACACACTAACGTACAGGCAAACGGACCGACTGACTGAGCTAGTGCATAAACACTTTTAACCTTCGTTGGAAAGCGTTAAAAGGAGGAAAATCCGAATTATTTGATGAACAGAATTGTATATTTCTCACCTGGGCGGCCGCGATGGCGATGTCGGGGCTGCTGTGGGGTTTGTATTTTGTCCTCAGCATCGCTGCCTTCACTTCCTCGAATTTGTCCGCAAACTGGGAACGCGGAAAGTGGCAGCAGCAGCTGTTTGAGATCGCAGCGGTGCGGCGGGGAGCGGCGCGTGTGAAGGGGCGAGTTAAAGGCGCGTGCGTGCGTGCGTGTATGGAGTGGTAGTGTAGCGGTTAGCACGCTGCACTATGAACCCGGCGACCCGAGATTGATTCCCGCTCCCGGCCAGTACCAGTGACGATTATCTGAAGCGGTCCTGAGCCTCTCCTAGGTGAACTCAACCCAAAATGAGTACCCGGTGCGGTGTGTAAACATCGCCACTGGAGAGACAAAGGCGGCCGGGCGTGGTGTTGACCACCCACCCCCTCGTGTGCTGTGCTGGCCTACATAGGTGCTCGCTAACAGCACTTGCCCCAAAAGACTGTTTAGCTATATGGAGGATCTTTGTCTTTGTGTGTGCGTGTTAATGACCCAACTTAACAAGTGTGGCTCAAAGCGAAATAGGAAATACAAATTTTGGGTGAATTCAATTATTTAAAGTTCAAAAAAATTAAATACCTCAATATAAATAGGATCGCAAAGCTTGGGTGGGGGTGGAGGGATGGCGGGGGAATTCGACTCCGGCTCAGCTCACGTATTAAAAATGTACATTTGACTTTTCCCACGATTCTATCTCATGTGTAGTCTCGGTGCACATCGCGAGACGAAGAATCCGTTCGGATCCCTCGCAGAGCGGCGCAAACCCTCTGTGTGTGAGAACTGTCCACGGGAAGTGGACACCACAGAGCCACCTCTGAGACTCCTTACAGCGACCTCTGGTCCACAAAGTAGAGGGACGGCACTTTCCCACCCACCTCCGCCACTGAGACCGACGTACATCGCATTCTTCGAGCTGGAATTTAGCCACGTTAAGTGCAAGAAACAAATTTAATTCGTGGCCGTTACTAATGAAACTGTTTGAAACGATTTTTTTTATTTTATTTTACCAGGTAAGGCCCACTGAGCTACGTAGCTCTTTTTCAGTAGCGACCTGGCCATCACAAATGGTGGCTCGACGAAGCGGCTCATCACGTGGACATTTCTAGCAGCCAAATACTCCAAACGCGTGTTTTTAAATGTGGAGGGAAAAAGCGGAGGACCGAGGGTCAGAAACGTGCAAACTCCAAATATACAGCAGGCGCCAGGTTCGGGTTCGAACCCACGACCTCCTTTATACCAGGCGAGGTAGTTAACATCTCGCCACCGTGGAGCCACCACCACCACCACTACCACCACCCCAGGTGTGGTCAATACGAGTAATTGAATGGCTAATTGAGCGCACGATTCCGCATTACCTGCATCGACTGTTGTTGTGCGCGCGGAGAGAAAGGCTGTGCCCTCGGGGTATAGCGAGAATCGATGACGCTGCTTCGTTCCTCCGTTCATTTGGCCGCGCGTGCCGTGTCACAGCGCTCAGAAATGTGGCCCCGCTATCGGACACGGTTACAATGTACGTATGTACCTTGAACTTCTTTCGCACCGTACATAGCCGAACCGCGCTAATCGGAGGCGCGGGGGAAGGACCACAAACTAAACACAAAAAGCAGTTCTAAAGGAAAAGGTTTTCAGTCTGAATGATTTCAAAGTGCATAGGCCCATTGGCTTCCTAATATTGGTGGGAAGAGCGTTCAAGACGTCTTTGATGGTTCGCCAAAAGCTGCTGCAAGGACGAGCCGAGTTTGCGTGATGACGGTGAACGCTCCTTGACGCGATCAGCCCGGTATTGTGGTCCAAGTGACGCACCAAGTGGTGACTCAGTCCGCCTGCGTAGGTGGGATTTTTGAAGGTGCTTGCACGTCACCGATCGATGAAAGTATGAATGGCAGTGTCCCCCGTAGTGCATTATAGACGTGTAAGGATTACACAACCCTTCCCCACCCTGCCGCCGGTGACCCGAAATCATCCGGAATGCACCCGAGCTGGTCAGATCTCAGAAGCTCAGCAGGTTTTGAACCTGGATAAGTGTTTGCATGGGCAGCCACCGTGCATAGAACTTCTGGACATACGTGAAAAAGAGCTTCATAGCTCATCGGATTCCTCGGAGTATAAATAAATATTCTGATTCTGAAAAGAGAGAAGCGGACAGTGTCTCCTTCACTTAGCTGTTTGTCCGCGTACCGATAACGTCATATCTGATGTGGGCCTTGCTGGGGTTCTCGACTGAAAATGGAATGGGGCTGGTCGAGCGACTCCATTCAGCCGTGCCAAACGCGCCTCCAATTATCACGGTCGGCTACGTACGGTGCGAAAGAAGTTCAGCATGCACACGTACAACTTCACGACGCCTTCGCAAAACACAAAACTTGTGTGTGCCGGCACTTTCACAACGCTGGCGTGTTCCTCCACTGTGCGATGTCTCCACAGAGGGGAACCACCAGGGAACGTGGGCTGCAGGACGGATAGGGCCCGTAGCAGAGACACCCTCGATATTCCAGACCGACCACTGGATAGTTCATAATTGGGACGATGACGACGACGATGATGACAATGATGATGACAATGATGATGACAATGATGATGACGATAATGACGATGATAATGACTAGGATGACGACGATGATAATGACGACGACGATGATGACGACGATGATGATAATGACGACGACGATCCCCGTGCGTGCGTGTCTCTCAAGCCGCGAGCCACCGCCACCTGCTCCAGGAGCTGCTCGGAGCCGAAGCCCAGGCCATAGACGGTGTTGGCTCGCCCGTCCACCCACTGGCCGAACTTGTGCGACGTCTTGGTGAAGCTCATGCCGGGCGCCACGGCGCTGTTCACCACCACCTGCAATCGCGGGGGCGGCAGCGGTGGGACAAACAAAGACAAGGATCCCCCGTGTCACCTGAAAACGCTGTTGGGACAAGTGCTGTCAGCGAGCAATGGCACACGAGTTGGGTGGGTGGTCAGTGGCAATGTTTTTACACATCACACCAGGTAATCAATTGAGGCCGAGTCGACCTTGGGGAGTCCCAGGTACCGGGTCAGATAATCGTCGCCGGTGGTGGCCGTGAGTGGGAATCGAACTCGGGTCGCTGGGTCCGGAGCGCAGCGCGCGGACCGCTACGCTACCACGGGCAGGTGCCGAAGCGCGCGTTCGGTTTTTGGGGGGACAAATGGAGCGCTCCCCGGGGCCAACGTTGAATAACTGAGAGTGGATGCCACGCGGTGAGAATGACCGAGCGTGACCAATTTACTTCTGCACGCCGAGACTTAACTGAAGACTCCACGGGCTGTTGTTGTTAAACCACGCCGACTCAATCAACGTGGCCGGGGACAGGCACATCGCTCGTGCCGCGTGCCGCGAGTTCATCTCCCGGCGACCGGAGCCGCGCGATGCTGCGGCGCAACGCTAACTTTGTTATTCCTCGCAACGACGACACCACCACCCCCCTCTTTCTCTCTCACCCCGACCCCTCGTGTCCCGCGCGTCGTCATCGCGCGCCCACCCTTTCGCTTGCCCCCCTTACCGCGCCACCGTGAGCCATCAGACGAAAATCGCGATTGCTTCTGTTCCATTTTTCGGAGTTTGCTGCTCGTATAACGGGGCGATGGTCTCGTCGGTGATTACCACGAAGCTCGCGTGGGCGGATCTGCTGTGAAACACGTGGATTTGACTCAACGCGGACCGTGGGTTTTGAGGTGGGAGATTAAATCCCGGAGATTCTTTAATTGGGTCGGCGTCTCCGGCGCTTACTTTGGGTTGTGTTTGGCGTTCGCCCCAAATCAGTCGCCATCCCGCCGAGCAGGTGCTGAAGTCCAAATTTACCAAGGCCATTGGCCGTGCTCGAGAATGATTTACGTAATCAACAGTGGCGGTTTGGTCGGTTTCTGAGACGTAAAAAGTGCTGCAGTTACCTCCGCTAAGGCCGTCGAGGATGATGGGCCGCGGAGGGGGCCTTGACATGGCACCGAATTAAACAGCAAGAAGCTGCTGGAGGTATGCACATACAAGTGGTCTCCGGGCTGCGTAGAGTCGGGACAAGCCTCTTGTTACGAACAAGTTTCTCTGTAACCATCTAGACGGAGAATGAGAGCGTACTGGACACTTCGCCCTTTTAAATGCACATGGACTGTAGCAGGTGTACCTGGCTCTCTACATAAAAGTTGGCTTTCTTCCACAATAACAATCAGGCTAACTGTTAACCTGCTACATATACATGTAAATATAAAGCAGATTAGCAGTTCAGGCAATGATCCTTCCTCTTGAGAGCAGGGGCTAACCTACCACGTTCCACGTACGCATGCTGAACTTCTTTCGCACCGTACGTAGTCAACCATGATAATCGGAGGCGCGTTCGGCACGGCTGAATGGAGTCGCTCGACCAGCCCCATTCAATTTGCAGTCGAGGATCCCAGCAAGACCCACATCAGATATGACGTTATCAATATATGCGGACAAACAGCTTTGTGAAGGGGACATTGTCCGCTTCTCTATTTTCAGAATCAGAATATTTATTTACACTGGAGGGGTCCCAATGAGCTATCAAGGACAACAACAACAACGAAAACAACAAATGATACATTCACTTGCAAAAGCAGCGTGAGCTGCCCTCAGGGCGCGCTCAGTCGCCACTGACGCGCGCGTGTGTGTGTGCGTGTTTGTGTGTGTGTCCGGCAAAACAACCCCCTACCTCCTCGCGGTGCCGGACGGGCAACTCTGTCGTGGACAGTGCTGTGGGGGGAGGGCCAATTCCGATTGGCTCCTCCCCTCCTGGCGTCTTTGTCCACCACAGTGGAGCTGAACCGGTACCACCTGGATCTCTGTGGCATTCAGGAGGTCCGGTGGACTGGTTCTGGCTCCTGCCACCATAAGGGGTGGAAAGTCCTCTACTCGGGGCAGCAGACTGCCAAACAACAGGGTGTGGCTCTTCTTTTGAGCAAAAGAATGAAGGGGGCGTGGGAGCGTGGCGGTGAGGTGTGGGAAGCTGTAAGCCCCAGGCTACTTTGGGCTCGCCTTCTCATCAATCGGAGGCGAGGATTGGTGGTCGTGGTTACTTATGCCCCCACCGAAGACGAACATCTATGGAAGGATGCAGGCAAAGCCGATGAGTCAGATGCCTTCTATGACCTCCTGTCACAGATGCTGGCTAAAGTGGCCCTCGGGATAGAGTCATCTTGTTGGGTGACTTCAATGCCCGAGTTGGTCATGATGCTGGCACCTGGCCTGGAGTGATTGGAGGGCATGGGCCGGATCAGCTTAATAACAATGGTAGGAGGCTGCTAGATTTTTGTGCAGCCCATGGACTTGTAATTACCAATACGCTGTTCCGGCATCGGCGCATCCACACAACATCATGGATGCATGCCGGGTCCAAGCAAGAACATCTGCTGGACTACATAGTGAGGGACCAATGGATGCGAGCCCATGTCCTTGACACCAGGACCTACCGTGGAGCTGATCTGCCCTCTGACCATCAACTAGTCATCTGTAAGATGCGCCTGCCATTCTTCCACTCCGGTAGTGGGTGTACACCCAGGACCCCATTCCAACCTAAAGTGGCCTGGTCTCAGTTATCTGATTAAAGTTGCAAGCGAGAATTTCATCATCGCTTGCGGCTGGGATTGGCATCGTCCCCCACTCCTCCTGATGTCGAGGGTAAATGGGCAAAGTTTAGGACTGTGACTCATGCAGCTGCAATGGCTGCTTTGGGTACGCGGTCCAGACCCCCCAGAGACCCTAACTGACAGAGGAGGTGTTCAGGACGGTTGATTAAAAGCGACAGGCCCACTGTCATCGGCTACAGAATCCCACGTCAGAGAATGAGGAGGCTTACCGCAGCCTTCACTCGGAGGTTCGGAGAGCTGTGAGGCGCTGCAAGGATGGGTGGTGGTCGCGGGTTGCTGAGGAGATGGAGTCTGCCTCAGTGGCCCGCGATCACAAATCTCTATTTAACTCTATCAAAAAAGTTACCTGCAGCGCCACACCTATTACCATCATTAGGGGAAAAAACGGTGATCCAATCTCCGACCCCCAGGAACAGGTTTGCAGATTTGCTGAGCATTTCTGTGAGGTCCTGGGGGAGGGAAAATCCCTCAGCCAGGAAAACATCGTGGCACAAAGTGAGGATGACCCTGCTGAGGCTACGGTGCCTCAAATATTTGAAGAAGTTACCCCCTGTGAGTGGCTGGCTGATGTACCATCTGTTGAGGAAGTACTGAAGGCGATCCGGAGTCTGAGACCAGGAAAGGCAGCGGGCAGAGATGATCTCCCAAGCGAAATGCTCAGGGAGGGTGGCGTTTGTGCCCAGACTGCCCTATATGACATCATAACAACAGTCTGGACCACTGGACGGGTTCCACAGGATTGGAAGGATGCCCTGGTGGTCCCCCTCTTTAAGAAGGGGGACCGCACAGACTGTAACAACTACAGGGGCATCTCACTCCTCAGTGTGCCGGGAAAGGTCCTGGCAAGGATTATTCAACATCGCCTCGCCAGGCACGCTGAGGAGAGGCTTGCAGAGCCCCAATGTGGTTTCAGGAAAGGGCGGTCCTGCACAGATGCCATATTTTCTGTCTGTCTGCTACAGCAGAGGTGTAGGGAATTCCAACAAGACCTACATCTCTGCTTTATTGACCTGGTCAAGGCCTAAGATACCATCAGTAGGCCTGAGCTCTGGGTTGTTCTTCGTGCTTTTGGAGTCCCTGACCCTCTGCTCACGATCATTAACGACCTTCATGATGGTGAGCGGGCCCGGGTAAAACTACGTGGCCGGGAGTCAGAGCCATTCCCTGTACACCTTGGGGTGCGACAGGGATGTCCTCTGGCTCCCACATTATTTACATATATTTTGACCACGTAGTTCATGAAGCCTTCAATAGCTGTACCGAGGGAATCTCCATTTGGTACAGATATAATAGGAGGCTGATCGATGCCCGGGTGCGGTCAAGGGATGGCTCCCTATTGCTCAACCACATTATGTATGCTGATGATTTGGTAATAGCTGCTCATTCAGAGGAGGAGTTGGAGACGCTGCTGCTTAGACTGGAGCGTGCCACTAAGAAATGGGGCCTTACCATCAGCCCCACCAAAACTAAGCATCTGCCTGGGTATTTTGTACCATCGGACACTCCACCCCCACAACTCCCAATCGGTGATGGGGCAGTTGTGGAGAGAGTGGAGAATTTCCCATACCTGGGCAGTGTGCTTATGACCGGCTCCAGTTTAACAGCAGAGGTCTCACTCAGAATCAGCCGAGCAGCAATATCTTTTCGTCGGTTGCGTAACGCTGTGTGGAAGCTACCTGGTCTGTCGCTCCGCACTAAGCTTCAGGTCTTCTCGACCACGGTAATTCCCTCCCTTCTCTACGCTTGCGAAACGTGGACCCCCTTAATGGAGCATCTGCGCCGGTTGGAAACATTTAGGCTGGCCTGCCTACCATCCATCCTGGGTTTACCAGGCTGGATTGTGTGAGGAGCTCAAAAATCCTTGAAAGATCTGGGCAAGGTCCCATCGGTGAGCTCCTCCGGCAGGCAAGGCTGCGTTAGCTGGGTCATGTAGCCCGCATGCCCAGCCACCGCATGCCGAAACAGTTTTTGTTCGGCCGGATCGAGGGGGCTAAATGGGCGCGGCACGGGCTAGAGAAGAGATGGAGTGATGTGGTACAGGAGGACGTGGAGCTGAGTGGACTTGCCGATGACTGGTACCAGCGGTGTCAAGATCGGCCTCTGTGGAGGAGGCTCGTGAAGGACGCTATTGGGCAGTTGGAGGCAGTCGCCCTCCAACAACAACGGAGGGCGGAGGAGCGACGATCACAACAACGAGCAGAGCGCCGGGTGGCTAAAGCACAGCAGGTTGGCACAGTAGGGGGCACAGGTGGTGCACCAGCCAGTCATCTCAGTCAGTCGACCCGTGGCACCTGGGTATGCCCCGTGACCTTCTGCCATCGACACTTCACGTGGCCTCAAGGTGCACATGGCCTGGCACAAGCGTCGTGGTGATGTCACCGCCACTTAGTGGCGAATGGCGGTTGTTGTTGTGTGTGTGTGCGTGTGTGTGTGTGAGTGTGTGCGTGCGTGCGCGTGTGTGTGTGAGTGTGTGCGTGCGTGTGTGCGTGTGCGTGCGTGTGGGCGCGTGTGTGTGCGTGTGCGTGCGTGTGCGCGCGTGCGTGTGTGTGTGTGTGCACGCGTGTGTGCGTGCACGTGTGTGTGTGTGCACGCGTGTGCGTGTAAGTGTGCGTGCGCGTGTGTGTGCGTGCGTGTGTGTGCGCGCGTGTGTGTGTACGTGTGCGTCGCACGTGTGTGTGTGTGCGTGTGTGTGTGCGCGTGTGCGTGTATGTGTGTGTGCGTGTGTGCGCGCGTGTGTTTTGCGCAAGAGCCATTTTAAGCCTGGCGGACGGCTCCGTCTTTGGCGGAGTCAAATGGAAAAGTCGGCACGCGCGGGAGGCGCCCTGGCAGTTGACAGTGCGAGCCGGCCGGCCGCCTCTATCAACGTGCGATTTACAGCCAACGCGCACGCACGCAAGCGTGCGTGTGCGTGTGTGTACTTTGGCACTCCGCGAGTCGTGGGCCCTCGGAGCCAAGTTCCTAGGGATGCGGGGAGCCAAGGTGGTCGTTAGCGGGGTGTCGGAAGGGTCGTCACCTCTGTGGTGCACAACGACCGTAGGACGTATCGAGGCAAGGAAGAAGAGTGTCTCAGGGTAGAGGAGGGGTTCAACTGCATTGTGCGTGCCTTGCCTCGAGTGGCGCTATCGTAACTACAATGCAACTGACAAAATCCAGGACTCTTAAATGTCCATAAAAGACTTTCAGATTCAAACAACACGGAAAAAAAAACACGAGTACGCAGCCTCTATGCACGTGCAAAACACCATCAGCACTTCTTGAAGAAGTGCATCACTGCTGCTGCTGTCAGTTGAACGGGTTAGCAAAAAACATATTTTGACGGTGACCTAAGACAAAAGGAGCACAATGAACTTCTTTATGAAATGCTGATGTGTTTTTTTTATAATGCACAAAGGCCGTGCGCTTTTTGCCAATTTCTGTGTTGTTTGAGACTCATGGATTTCCGGCCTGCTCTCGTTTTTTGTTTTTAAAAGATGGATTTTTAACGTGATGTACAGATTTGATTATTGTCGGCATTACCTGAAAGACTTACAGGCTTCCCAGGATGGGCAAACCCAACAAGAGGGCAACACTGGAGAGTCCCTTACCCTCGGCCCTTCCACGGCGACGATCCTGAAGCTGTTCCTGGCCGCGTGGTGGTAGTAGGCCACCACGATGGCCTGCTTGCTCACCGGCATCCAGGCCTTCTTGGTGGCCGGGTCTATCTGGAACACGTGGGCCCTGGTGGTGAACACCGGCTGTTCCCTGCGGACGCACACACGGTGGGCCGGCCACCTTTAGCGCGCGTGGCCGCAATTGGTGCGACAGTTCCGAGCTGTCGGGACACAGGAGACACACATTTTACCAATTAACTCTTTCGTTTATAACGTTCATACGGCGAGCGCTGCCTGTGACCAACTCGCCTGGCGTGTGCCCGATCTCGTCCGAAGCCAAGCAGGCTTGAGCCCGGAGAGCATTTGGGTGGGCGACCAGCACCGTCATGCATAAGAGGCAGGCGCAATAGGCGTCGTGGGCAGCAGAGTTCAGTGCAGAAGAATACAAAAAAATCTGTTCTGCGCTCCACCGGCCTCCGTCTTTCGCCAGCCTGCATTGACCAACGTGAAGTATGGGCAAATATCCCTCAGGGCCATAAATGCGTGGGGTGGGGGTGGGGGGGCACACATCCAGCAGCAGATCGACAAACATGCTGTGCATATACAGAAAGTGCTGCTTAAAGCAACGGCACAGCACAAATCCCATCCAGCAGACGAGCGGCAACTCCTCTTTCCCGCAGTGCGGCCGATGATTCCGCTCAAGGGCTGGGCCTCTCGTCCCACAGGCGCGCAAGAAAACGCTGCCGCTTCTGCTGCTGCTGCTACTGCTGCTTCTACTGCTGCTGCTGCTGCTGCCGCTGCTGCTGCTGCTTATACTGCTGCTGCTGCTTCTGCTGCTGCTGCCGCTGCTGCTTCTGCTGCTGCTTCTACTGCTGCTGCTGCTTCTGCTGCTGCTGCTTCTACTGCTGCTGCTTCTGCTGCTGCTGCTTGCTGTTCTGCGCAGTCAGCGTCGTCCGCGATGGACAGCCCAAGAAGTGCTGCCTCGAGATGGAAAGGGCAGCGCGTGCGAGGTGGAGACATCTCACGCTGACTGTTGAGAAAAGTAAGTGGGCATGGGGAGGTCACGTCGCTCGAAGGGTTGGCGGTCGGTGGCTGAGACGGGCGACGGAGCGGCATTTCCCCTGCTGTGTTGGTCTCACCTGATGACGGTCGCTTGTGTTCCCATCGAAACGTCGTGATCTATTATTTTCTACCTACGTGACTTTACCAAAAGAACCAAAGAGTGTGGGTCGACTTCTGGCTGTCGCCTCCCTCCAGGCTGGGGGAAATAAAGACCCCGACCGGCACAGAGCACCGTGCGGTGCCACCGACAGCGGCAAAGCCTCCGTAGGCGGCAGGGGGTACGGGGGCACCGGCTGAGGTTGGTTAGCGGAAGCGTGTGGCTTTCCCGACGCAGGGCCCCACCACGGGGACATGACCCCCCCCCCCCCAACGGTACCCCCTCCACCCAACGCTACCACCCCCAAAGTCTCCCCCAACACCACCCCACCCCTCTCCCCTCCGCTGCTGGTCAGGTGCCCAAACTAAAGCTGAGTCGACGCACTGAGCGCCGCCGGCCACGGGCACCGCAGACGAAGCGTCGGGACGCGGCCGCCATCGGCGCCGGCACCACAGCGGTCGTTTGGAGGCGCTTGCCCCCTTCCACAAAGAGCGGCGCTGCCGCTAACTCCTGTAAAACAAAACCCCCCGGCTCGACGCGGATTTATGACCTCGCGGTTCCCTAAAATAAAGTAGCCCCCCCCCTCTCCACCGTCCTCCCCCCCACCTCTCTCTCTCTACCTCCCACGTCCCGTTCCCCTCCGACCCTTGCTTGGCCACGTTCCCCCCGATCGGTGCGGCGCACGCCGGCGCGCAATAAATAGCGGCGGGAGGGGCAGCCGCCGTGCGGGGCGGCGGCGATGGGGAAACCGCACGGACGCTCGCCGCGCTCGTGGACGGCGGAGCCGTGACAGGCACGGGCACGGACGGACGACAACAGGCACACAGCTGTTGCTCGCGCACGCGAGGGGGATGACAGCGGAGACGTCGGCGATTACGAGACCAAAAAGCGGGATGTGCGCATTGCGTGGGACGAGCTAGGATGTCGCCTCCCACACCAGGGATCTAAAACGAGGGGCGGCGGGAAGCTCGCACAAGCGTTAGGGGGCTCGCAGTCCAATCAGGGACGGCGAGCAGACATTGCCGCCTCTTGTGAATAAGATTGTGGAGAAGACCGCAGGGTCACCGCGCTGCACAGCAGAGAGAGAAAGGTAGGGTGGCTGTGACAGCAGCAGCAGCAGCAGCTACGGGCTGCTGTCACATGACCGAGACAGGGGCGACAACACCACCACCACCACCGCTGCTGCTGTGTCACATGACCGAGAGAAGGGAGACAGCAGCCGCCCACTACGAGGGACCCCGTGGGACCTTGTGTGAAAAGCATTTTCCACGCGCACGGCAGTGCGAATTCCTTTTCGAGGGGCACGTGCGTCCGCGCACGCACGCGCTCACGCACGCACGGCTCGCAATCGTTTGGCCTGCCCGCGGCGGCCCCCCGTGAGCATGAAGGGCGTTCATGCGGCTCCGTGCGGGCCCAGTGAACAAGCCGCTGCTGCTGCTGCTCGCTGCTAAAGCTGCTGCTAAAGCTGCTGCACCTGTTGCACCTGTGGTACTTATTCAAACTAACAAAAAATGTTTTACCACGTAAGACCCACTGAGCTATGTAGCTCTTTTTCAGAAGTGACCTGGCCACAAATGGTAGCTCAACGAAGTGGCTCGTCATCACGTGGAAATGTATAGCGGCCAAATACTCTAAACGCCGTGATGTTGATTCTAAATGTGGAGGGAAAAACCGGAGGACCCGGAGAGAAATCCACGCAACCACAAGGAGAGATACACCGCAGACTCCAAATATACAGGAATCAGCGTTCGGATTCGAACCCACGACCTCCTGTATACCAGGCAAGGTAGTTAACATCTCGCCACCGTGGCACATGCATGCACCGAGCCTGCGGTACAAAAGCGTCACAGCTGTGGAGCTCGCCGATGGCGCATCGTGGTGGCTGCGGTTGACCGGCACGGTTCAATTCAGATAGAAACGTGAGCCTCAAACCTCCTCCACGTGACCCCGTCGTGCGTTCTTTTGGAGCATTATGGGTAGGAGCGTTTGCGATCGGAACTGTGTTGTGTTTTCTCCAGATATAAATACGAAAAATGACGTTCAGTCCGTCGGAATTTTCTCTCTCCAGGACGTCGCCGAGTGTTTTTAGAAGCCGTCGGTGTTGATAATGATACGGACGCAGCAGTGCTTTGCATCCCTCAGTAAAACGTACATTTTAATCGAACAAGGTTAATACAAATTTATTTAAGTATCACTGACGGTTACTCGCGGTGTATAATTATAATGTGACGTGTAAACAGACAGTTTTAATCTGCAAAAATAACCGGGATCATCGCGCTCAATAATTTAAACCGATGAATGTGGCACTTTGCCAAGCACTGCATTATTATTAAACGAAACATCGCGCCCGAGGGGAAGAAGTGTCAAGGATTTTTGAACACGTCTCGTAGACAAAAATAGCTGACCCACATACATCCACAATGCATTTTTTTTATTTCTTTAATGTCCCGTGTTATATAAACCTTTCCTCGTAATAAGAGACATGGTCAGTGCATTGTGAATGCACACACACACACACACCTCACACACTTCACACGCACACCTCGCACACACGCACAACCACACGCAGACTCGCGACCGTGAACTTACCCCATGATCGGCGCCCGACGCTTGGATCCACGACTCTCAGGATCTCTCTCGGTCGCCGCTCCTCTTCCGTCCGCCCTCCGACGAAGCCTCCTGCGAGGGGAGTCCGTGGAGGCTGCTGGCTTGCGGTGACGCCGGTGGCTGCTGCGGCGGCGGCAGCGGCGGCTATATCGGCTCGGTCGTATTTCGGGAAACATCAGAGGTGGACGGGGGCCACGCTGGCACGGGGATGGGAGGGCTGCTGACGGGAGGGGTGGTGCTGTATGTGGCGTTAGAAAAAAACAAGACACGACACACGTCTCTATCGCCCGGGATTCTTTTTCTCTCCTCTCCCCCTCCTCTCCTCCGGCAGGCGCCAAACGCCCCGAGCCCCGGTCTGCATCACGAGGGCACTTTCTCGCGAGCGTCGCGAATCCTCGGGAGGAATCCGCGGCTCCGAGTCGCGACGGGGACGAGTTGGCGGTCCCGCAGTTCGCAGAGCGAGCGACCGCGAAGCGAGCGATCGGCTGCAGCGTTTGGCAGCAAAGTGACTTGGTCGTTCTTTCGCCTGGTGGTGGTTTTTATTTTAATTGGCGAGCTATTTCGCGATCGCGCGCACGCGTGCCGCGTAATTGCGTGTCACAAGGGTAATAATACTCGCACAAAGGGTGACTTCTAATTCGTGTGTAGTATATGATTTATTCGTTTTATAACCCGCGCGCACTTTTCTGTCTGGGTCTTAGAATCGGTGACAATAATTCGCGTAGGACGTTTGCGTACGGCGTGCGTGCGAACGCACCCTGCGTTTATTTACGAACGAGGTGAAGGCCCAGCAAGACTACGAGTCTGTTACACAAGCAAGGCCTGGGGAAATAACGGAAGCAGTACAGTGTGTGTGTGTGTTTGTGTATTTGTTTACGCGTGCTTATTTACATAAACAGACACGACCTTTACGATGAAACCAGACCATCACGAAATCTAAATGGGAAACCCGCAAACACAACAACTGTTAAGGAAATGCACGCATCATTCGTTTAGTGTGGACGCAATATTCATTTCTAGATAATGAAGCTTTCTACTTACCGCGTAATAATAAGTGATAACAATAATTCCCTTGTATGACTGGATATCTCAGAGTGTCAAGACTCTTTTTTCAGGCAGGTGCTGCTACTTTGGGACATTTGGCCAGTTTCGTTTAAGGAGTGGTTTGGCTTCGTGTCGGAGAAAATCTGCACGTGATGGATTGAAGATTCCACTACAAACACCGCGTCGGTTGCAAAACACGCGGACCGCTCCGAAGAGGAGAGAGATGCGAGCGAGCTACACAGCAGGTGCCTCCAGCGAATGAAGTGGCCAATGAAAACGTTCCGAACGAGCATCGTCATCGTCATATGTCCCTCCGGTCAGCTCGGAAGCGTCAATGAGATCATGGTTCTCTTTAACCAGCACCACTGCTTCACTCGACCTCAGTCCTCTCTCTTACAGCTCGTTTATCGCTGGGTCTACCCAACGCGGTCGCGCGTTCCTCGCTCGTGTCGTTGCAGAGGTTCACGGTTCGCATCAATCGGCCCGCCCTGATTAATACCGCGGTGCGTATCGACCGTAGTAACAATAACATTCCTACACACCGCCCGCGTCACAGCGAACGATAAAGATCCCCTGATGTCAGTCACAAGAGGTGGCCGTTGTGTGCCGGCGGCAGGGTCCAATTTCCTTCCAATTTAGAAATTGGGACTACACACAGCAGCGATCATTGCCCCCCTTACTTGCCCATTTGCAGGTCAGATATCCAAGTCGCGTCGTGCCCACAGGGACAGCTGCCACTGGGGGGCGGGAGTGTGGGGGGGCGCGCTGTGGGGGGGTGCCCTGGGGGGGGTGTGTGGGGGGGTGCGCTGTTGGGGGTGCCCTGGGGGGGGGTGCCCTGGGGGGGGGGGGTGCCCTTTCTTAAATGCTTTGAGCCGAGACGCGCGATGTAAAGCGCCGCGAGACGCCCCGACGAATATGGCGCTACATCGACAGCAAATCACTCTCGATCCCTTCCACTTTCACGTGCAGCCTCCTCAAGTACGGGATCCTGTGCAGCTCATTCACGCAGCCCCGTCTGAGGGTAGCCTGTCCGAGCCACGATGCCCGTCGTCGTTCCTCGGCTTTCTCTAACGTAACGACGTTTATCTTCGCGCCCCTTGCGTTTCGCAGGAAAGCCCCGCCGCGCGGGAGTGCCGCAATCGACCCCACGTCCACTCCTCGTCGCGGCCCGCGCCGTTAACTTCCGCCACTGGGACACGTTGGCCGCGACGGTGACGAGGGCGCGACCCGACCGCTCGAAGCGGGCGGCGTGGGCACCCGCGACCGGCACGGCGCGCCACCCGGCGCCGGCGCGCACGCACGGGTGGCGGAAGAGCAGCGAGCGGGGCGCGGGCAGCGTCGCCGTCCACAGCAGCAGCGCGCCGTCGGGGGACACGTCGCACGCGGCGGGGGCGCCGGCCTGCAGGGCGCCTGTAGCGCGGTGGGGGCGGGCCAGGGGCGGGAGGCAGGGGTGAGGGTTCACGATGAGGGGCGAGCGTGGAAGCTGGGGAGAGTTTACTGGATGAAGGTTTGTGGTTTGTGTGAACCGTCCGGGCAACCCTGCCCCAATACCCCAGACGGTCGCCCGGTATTTCAAAAGCTATGCCATTGACTCTTCCGCGGTTCTTCAGTTGCAGCAACGCGGTCCCTCGCGTTTCATTTGAGCATTCGAACCCTGCCGTACCCGCGGTCACCGCGGACTCCACGCGCGCATTACTCCCGCGCCCCCCCTCGCCCCCCCTCGCCGCCCCCCCCCCCCCCCGGCCACTCACCCATCTTGGCGAACCCCCCCGTGCAGGTGTCAGAGTCCCAGGCCGCATTCCCCCAGGCGGCCGCGTCCGCGAGCCGCTCCCCGGAAGCGGTGTCCCACACCATCGCGTCGCCACCTTCGCCCGTGCTGGCCCTCAGCAGGTGCCGCCCTCCCCGTGTTGGCTCGCTCGACCAGTCCAGGCCCGTGATGGGGCCGGGGCAGCCCGTGCGGCACACGGCCGCGACGGAGAGGCCCACCAAGGCGGCGCCGTCGTCCGCGGCCGCTGTCGGTGACGCCGGAGGTGCCGCTGCGGCCGGGCGTCTGTCTGGAAGGTGAGAGCGAGCGTTTGTACTAATTAAACTATTTGAAACAATTTTCTATTTTACCAGATAAGGCCCACTGAGCTATACTGTATAGCTCTTTTTCAGACGCTACCTGGCCACAAATAATAGCTCACCGAAGTGGCTTATCACGTTGAAGGAAAAACCAGAGGATTCGGAGAAAAATCCACGCGATCACGGAGAGAACATGCAAACTCCAAATATACAGGGTCGGGATGGAACCCACGACCTCCTGTATACCAGGCGAAGGAGTTGACATCTCGCCACCATTACGCCGGAGTGCCAGCAATGGGGACGATGGGGTCTGGCTCTAGAATGAGCCGTTTTTACGAATGCATTTATATCCAACAATGTCAGTTTAGACTGACAGAGCGTCCACATGCCGATGCATCCCAAGACGTTGCACAAATGCCGAGGAAAGTTCTCATTCGCCCCCCTCGCGATGCAATATATTTTGTCCGCGTTTCGGGGTCGCCATTCGACTTGAAAATCGATGGTTTTGTCAACGGAATCAGAATCTTTGCCTGTCGTGGATAAATCCGATGGGATGTCCAGTAGGGGCGGGTGGACGTGGCAGCCACTGTCGTTAGCCAATTACACGCGATGCATATGCGACTACGGCAAGGAGGGCAAGCGAAACGTGAGAGCGCCGAAGGCTAGAAGAAAAAAAATAGCGGTCACACGTACAGACGCCGCGGCGTCGCGGCTGCGTGCGACGTCACACCAGCCGTACATGCGACGTCACACCAGCCGTACAAGCGACGTCACACCAGCCGTACATGCGACGTCACACCAGCCGTACATGCGACGTCACACCAGCCGTACAAGCGACGTCACACCAGCCGTACAAGCGACGCCATGACGTTACAAAACCCAACGGAAAAATCAACTTCTGCTGCACGATGAGTTGACCGATGGCGCGTGCCATACATGTTCGTGTCGAGGTTGGCGCGTGAGCCGCTGCCTCATGGCTGAAACGCAGCCCGGCGAACTATCGAAGCGTGCAGTGTTGTTACCGCGCGGCGCATAGTTTGAGATCGGTGACCACAGTCGCGCCCGTGGGCTAAAACCCCGGTGCGCACGAACGGCAAGCGCAGGCGGTACCGCGAGCACGTCCGGACGCCGGGGCGGAGGGCCGGGGGCCCCCGGGCTCTGACCGTGTCGACGGCCTCGAGGCACGGCCGGCGGCCGTCCGACGAGCAGCACGTAGACGGCGGCGTCGGCGCACGCCAGCGCCACGTGGCGCCCCGTCGGCGAGAGACGCAGAGCGGTGGGGCTCGCCGGGGCCACGTGGGGAGCGCGGCACAGCACCCGCGCCCACGGCAGCTGCCCCCCGCCGCGACCGCTGCCCGCACACAGCAGCGCAACGGTGGCGTCGTCGGTGGCGGCGGCGACGAGGTGCTCGGGGGTGCCGTGCCGCGCCGAGCGATCGTCGTCGTCGCCGCCGAGGTCCTCGGGCAGGATTCTGAGAACGGAGGCCGATTCGGCACCCGGCGCGGGACCGCGCGTTAACCGCCACTCGCAAAGACATCGGCGGCGCTGACGCGCGCGTGCGGCTTGCTGCTGCATAACGCTGGTCCCGAAAGCCGATAGGCCGGGCTAAAAAATGAGGCTTGCATTTACACGCGGAGACGCCGAGTGGCTTTCCGCGAATGCGTGCGGCTACTCGCCCCTGGTCGATGAGCCACCCGGCAGGGCCCACGTCCACGCACGCGAAGGCGGTGCCGGGCAGCGCGTGACGAAGCAGGCAGCTCCTCTCCTTGCTGTCGCACAGCTGCAGGAAACCGTCTCGCCCGGCCGTCACAAAGAGCCCCTCTCCCGCGAGACCGCGGTGGATACCCAGGGCGGCCCAGGCCTCCTCTTCCTCCCTCTCCTCCGGCTCCCGACTCGCCCCCTTCAGCCGCTGTGCTGCGGCGGTCGTCTTTGTGCGGGCGGCTCGCTGGGGCCGCCGGTGCCCGTGCGTGACGGCCGGGTGGCCCAGCGCGACCCCCGCGAGGGAAACGCCGGCGCTGGCGTCGCTGCCGCCGAGAGGAGCCCAGAGCACGGAGCAGCCGAGGGTGGCGAGATAGAGCACGCCGTTGCCGCCACCGCCGCTCATCGCCAGCGCCACCGCACCGCCCTCGCACTCCGGAATCTGTGGGCGCCCGGCGCCGTCGAGGGAGGAGACGAAGATCAGACCGAGAGCGGTGACGATCATTTTGATTCCTTTCATACGTGCTTTCTGCGTCGTCTCTCTCTGTAACAATGGGGGACGGGGGGCGGGAACCAATTCTCATAACGATGATCCAATGTGAACCAAACTGGAGTACAGA